CTCTATCTTCCTTTGGGAGCTTTTCTTCTTCCTTTGCTAATTAGAACTAGTTCTTTAGACCACAACCAAGCTGTCACCTTGGGATTTTCCCTTGTTTTCATCCTTTACACTTGACACTTACATTCTCATGCAGGTATTCTTTTTCCTGCATCTGAAACTTGACTTTTGCATGAGGTTCACCTTTCACTTATTTCCTCAAAAGGCTGTATGGAGCATAGAATTTACAAATGCTTCAGTAGGGGCTAGAATGTAGCTCATGGTAGTGCTTCTCTAGCATACAGGAGTCCCTGGGTTCAGTTCCCAGGACAACAAAGAAGAAAAAGTTTAGATAGAACTGGATATGATGAAATGCAGTAGTTCTCTGCTTTACCTCCACTACTCCTAATCATCTTTTTGCATGCTGGCAAGTATCCTTCATTTTGCTCTTATTCTTCAAATTGTTTTGATGTAGAATTCTATGCTGAAAATGTGGTGCTACTGGACACTGTCAGTGTCCTGTTGAGAAGTTTGATGTCATTTTTTTTCCTAGTTATTTGAATCTGACCTTTCTATCTTTTTAAGGCTATTAAGGACTATTTTAACTTAAAAATTTTTTTTGATGGTATTGGGGTTTGAACTCAGGGCCTCACACTTACTAGGCAGGTGCTCTATCACTTGAGCCGCTCCACCAGCCCAGGACTAAATGTTTGATTTTTAACTAAAACTATTTTGACTTTGATATATTAGTACATGTTATATATAGAAATGCAATAGTTTTTTGGTATCGGCTTTGTACTTGGTGATCTTGTTGAATTCACTTATTTGGGTAGATGGTAGATTCTTTTGGGTTTTCTACATACACAGTTATATTAGCTGAGCAAAGTTTTACTTCTTCCTTTACAGTCTTTTTCTAACCCCTCCCCACCATTAATCAGTGTTTCTCATTGTATATTATGGTAGTGGGTATAGTTTTGTTTTTCATAGAACCCTTTATGACATTGAGAAATTTTTCTTCTGTTTCTCAATTTCTTAGTTGAGAATGACTGTTGAACTTTATCAAATTATTTTCTTTGCCTTAAACCTACTATGTAGCCTAGGCAGGCTTTGAATTTAATCTTCCTTCCTTAACCTCCCAAGTAGCTGGAATTACAGGTATGTACCACTATACCCAGCCAAATGATTTATATCCACTGAGATGTCATGTGTTTACTCCTGTTTTGTTTTTGGTGGTACTGGGGTTTAAACTCAGGGCCTCATGCTTCCTAAGCAGGCACTCTTAATGTTTGAGCGACTCCATCAGCCCTGTTTTTTGCGATGGGTGTTTTTTCAAGATAGGTTCTCCCAGACTATTTGCCCGGGACTGTCTTCAAACTGTGATCCTCCTGATCTCTGCCTCCTGAGTAGCTAGATTATAGGTGTGGGCCACCGGCACTCAGCCTCCTATTTTGTTAATGTGGTGAATTACATTGATTTTGGGGGCAGAGAATGCAATGAAGTCTTGACCCTGCCACCTTTGCCTCTTGAGTGCTGGGAATATAGGCATGTGCCCCACTGGTAACGATAAACTTTTGCTTTAAGTATAACGCCCTTGTTTATCTCTAATAGTACTCCTTTTTAAATTTTTTGAACATTTTTATTAGCACATAAGTTGCACGGGGTGTTTCATTATGATTTTAATACTCCTTATTTTGAAATCTGCTTTCTCTGTTACTGCTGAGCCATACTGGCTTTCTTCTGATTAATGGTTGCATGGTATATCTTTTCCCTACTTTTTGTTTTGAACCGTCCTTGAATTTAAATAACTCTTTTAGATGGCATATGTTAGGACTTTGGCTTTCTTTTATTTCTTTTTTTGGTAGTACTCATATTTGAACTCAAGATTTCATGCTTGCAAAGCAGGTGCTCTACTGCTTGAGCCACACTGGTTATTTTAGAGATGGGGGTCTCAGGAACTATTTTTCTGGACTGACCGGGAACCTAGATCCTCCAGATCTTAGCCTCCCAATTAGCTGGATTATAGTGTGAGACAATGATGACTAGCTTGCTCTGGTTATTTTTGAGATAGGGTTTCGCTTTTTGCCCAGGCCAGCCTGAAACATGATCCTCCTGTTTTACTCTTTCCACCGTTGCTGGGATGAAAGATGTATGACACTATGCCTAGCTTTTCCTTGAGATGGGGTCTTGCAAACTTCCTTTCCTTTTTTTGGGCCTGGGCTGGCCTTAAACCCTGATGCTCCTGATCTCAACCTCCCAAGTAGCTAGGATTACAGGTCTGAGACACTGACACCTCGAAATACTTTTAATTAGACTGCTTTTATTTGTATTTAATGTTGTTACTGATGTGGCTAGATTTTAATCATGTTACTGTGCTATTTTCTGTTTCTTTCATCTATTCTTTGTCTTCCTTGTTTTCATATAGATTTTCAGATATTCCATTTATATTGCCCATTGTCTTTTTAGCTATGCTTTTTTGTATTTTTTGTTTGTTTTAGTCAATTCATGATGGTTTAACAAAATACCATAGCTTGGTTGGTTTAAGTAAGAGAAAATTTCTCAAAATTCTGGAGGCTAGAAAATCCAAGATCAAGGTTCTGGCAAGTCTAGTTTCTGGTGTCTCTTCTTGGCTTGCAAACATCATTTCACTGTGTCCTCACATAATGGGGACTGGGTGGTGGTGGAAAAAGGACAGAGAACTTCAAGGCAATAGCCTGTATTGGGACCCCACGCTTATGACTTCATTTAACTTTAGTTACCCCCTAAAGACCCTATCTCTACATTAGGGGTTATAATTTCAACCTGTGGATTTTGGAGGAGATACAGTACAGTCCATAGCAGTGAAATAGCTAATGTCCTTACACTTTTTTAAAATGTTATTTATTTATTATATTATTTATTTATTTTTGCCGTACTAGGGTTATAGCTTGTTCTTACATAAGAACAATGTTTGCAAACATTGTGGGTTGGTTTATTTTTGAGATGGTCTTCCTGTGTAGTCCAGGCTGGTCTCAAACTTACAATCTTCTTGCCTTAGTATCCCAAGAACTGAGATAACAGGCATAGACCACCATACTTGGCCACACTTTTTTAAAATATTTTTTTGGGTAATTTTTTAGTCCTTGCTGGCCAAACATTGTTACTTTAATTGCTTTAAATAGTCAGTAGTCCTGTAAGAAATACAAGGAAAAGCCTTTTAATTTACTCAGGGGTTTTTTTTTTTTTTTTTGGTAGTACTAAGGGTTGAACTCAGGTCCTCCTGTTTGCTAGGCAGGCACTCTACCATTTGAGCCATTCTGCCAGCCCCGAAACTTTTTTAACTAAAAAAAAAAAAAAAATTGAGATATTGACATATCATAAAACCACTCATTTAATGTGTGTTGTAGTTCAGAGATTTTGAATGCACACACAGACTTCGTTCAGTTGTTACCACACTTGTAGAACATTTTTATCAACTCCAGAAAAAAACTCCTTGCCATCAACTAGTCAGTCTTCATTTTCCTTCAGCCACTCCCCACCCAATACTATGCAGCCACCCTTCTCCTTTCTGTCTCTATACATTTGTCTGTTCTGGACATTTCTTAGTGCAGTCATATAATAGATGTTACTCTGTGCCTAGCTTTTTTACTTAGTATTGTGCTTTCAAGATTCATCCATGTTGTATCATGTGTCTGTACTTTATTCTTTTTGCTGTCAGATCTGTTGTATAGATCTTGGCATACTTATTCATTCATGAGTTAATGGACAAAAAAATTGTTTCTACCTTTAAAAAAAAATTTTTTTTTTTTGGTGGTATGGAGTTTGAACTCAGGGCTTTGTGCTTGCAAAGCAGGCACTCCACCACTTGAACTGTACCTTCAGCCTCATCTTTTTATTACTGTAAATTAATTGTATAAAGGAATTTCATTGTGATATTTCCATACATAGTTCTGCCATGTCCTCAAGGTACATTGGTACAGTTTTTGTCATTTCAATGGCTAATTGTTATGAAAAGGAAATTAGATGCTTTTAAAAATGAGTTTGTAGGGCTGGTGGAGAGGTTCAGACGGTAAGAGCGCCTGCCTAGCAGGCGAGCGTGAGATCCTGAGTTCAAACCCAGGTACCTCTCCCCCCTTCCAAAAATGAATTTTACAAAATCTATCTGGGTTATATGTACTTGACTTCAACTACCCTAACTCCTTTTATTTTGGAAGATTATTGACTTGCTGGCTCACACCTGTTAATCCTAGCTACTTGGGAGGCTGAGGTTAGAAGGATCCAAAAAACATGTGTGTGGGGGGGGGTGCGTGCGTGCGTGCGTGCATGCCTGCTTTGCAAGGCCCTCTTGAGTTCAAACCCCAGTCCCATCAAAAAAACCAATGAATGAGTGGCTACATTTTTTACACTGAAATTGAGTTTTTTTTTCCTCCCTTGGGGGTCAAACTCAGGGCCTTACACATCCCTGGTAAACATTTTCTACCACCGGAGACATACCTCCAGTCCGTCAAAGTGAGTGTTTTAATTTAATTTTAATTTAATCAGCTGGTAGTAGCATTGCTTGATACGGTTAAGATGGTAAGTTTTATGTTACGTGAATGTGACCTCTTAATAGATAAATGGGCTGTCAGTTGACAAGTGTTTTCTTCTAGTGTGTTGCAATACTGCAATTCCTGCTTGCATTGGACATGTTTTTGCCTTATTGGCAGTTAATAGCTTGTGTATTTTTAAGCTTGATTTTGGGTCTGTGCCAGCTGACTTTCAAAATTGAATTCATTTGGAAAATACCTGAAGGTAAATAAATGTTATGATATGTCCTACATTGTGATTTAATAAGGGAATTTTATTCTGTACATATTTTTAAAGAAATATTGTTAAAAATGTAAAAGTATGATGTTGATAAATTGCTTTTGAGAACCTTGTTATATAGTGTTTTTGAAGAATAGCTTATGAAATTTGACATGTTCCTTAGTTTTAAGAACTTTTTTTCCTCTTTGAGTCTCATTTATGGATAATTCCATACTTTTTATCCCTCCCTCCTGTCTCTCTAGTCTTCTTGCCAACAATTTTGAAGATGGCTCCCATGTAGACTCACCAGTAGACCCAAGTGGAAACTTCAATGTTGTCATTAAAGAGGAACCTCTAGATGATTATGATTACGAACTTGGGGAGTGTCCAGAAGGGGTCACTGTGAAACAAGAAGAGACAGATGAAGAAACAGATGTGTACTCAAACAGTGATGATGATCCTATATTAGAAAAACAACTAAAGAGACACAATAAAGTTGATAACCCAGACGCTGACCATTCATCTTCTAAATGGCTACCAAGCAGCCCATCAGGGGTTGCTAAAGCTAAAATGTTCAAATTAGACACTGGAAAAATGCCAGTAGTCTATCTGGAGCCCTGTGCTGTCACCAAAAGCACAGTGAAGATTTCTGAACTACCTGATAACATGTTTTCCACATCTCGGAAGGATAAATCTATGTTGGCAGAATTAGAATATTTGCCTACATACATTGAAAATTCCAGTGGGACTGGCTTCTGCTTAGGCAAGGAATCAGAAAATGGTCTTAGAAGACATTCACCAGATCTTAGAGTGGCACAAAAATATCCTTTACTTAAAGAGCCTGAGTGGAAATATCCTGATCTATTTGATAGCATTAGCTCAGAGAGAACACATGATAGTTCAAATGGTTCACCTGGGGACTCGTTTGTAGGAAAAGAAGACTTGGGCAAAAAGCGAACAGCTGTACTTAAGATCTCGACAGCCCCAAAGGCTGTGAATGCTAATCAGAATGCCTCTCCAAATGCCTCTGGAAAAAGAGGAAGACCTCGAAAATTGAAACTCTCTAAGGCAGGGCGACCACCTAAAAACACGGTGAAGTCTTTAACGTCTTCAAAGAATACCCCTGTAGGCCCTGGGAATCCCTTTCCTGATGTGAAGCCTGATCTGGAAGATGTGGATGGTGTTCTCTTTGTTTCCTTTGAATCAAAGGTAAGGTGGTAATTTTCAGTATTCTTTCTAAGATCAGTTAGTCAGTCTTGAATTGTATATTGACTGAAAACTAACTTGGGATCTAGTTTTGTGAATGTATTCAATTGTGAGGGTATGTGGAGAAAGGGGGAAGTTCTCCATAATGTTTGGCTTAGTTAACAGGCATCACTTAAGATATTTTGTTTGAAAAAGACTTACTAAAAATAATGTCTGCTTAGTTCTTGGGCCATGATTTTTGCTGATTTAACTCAGTTCTTTGGGAATTTTCATCATTAAGGCTTTAATTAATTAATTAATTTGAAGTATTTGGACTTGGTAGGCAAGGCTCTACCACAGGATCCATGCCTCCAGCCCTTTTTGCTTTTGCCTGTCATCCAGCTACAGTGGGAAGTTTAATATAGGAGTATCTTCAGCTTGGGCAAAAAGCGAAACCCTGTCTCCAGAATGACCAGAGGCGTGGCTCAACCAGAGTAGCAAGCGTAAAGTACTGAGTTTAAACCCTAGTACTGCAAATCAATCAGTCAGTCAATGCAAAAGTAATGTTAATGCTGAAGTAGAAAATATATATGTATATATAAAAACCCTGTTCCTGTTCTGTAGATTTGGAGTCATCACTGTAAGCATGATGATATTTTCTTCTTGGTCTTTTTTGTTTTATTTTGTGGTACTGGGGTTTGAACTCAGGGCTTTGTGATTATAAAGCAATCACTCTACTGCTTGAGCCACACCTCCAGTCCATTTTGTTTTAGTTATTTTGGAGATGAGGGTTTCACAGACTATTTGCTTGGGCTAGCCTTGAACTGCAATCCTCCTGAACTCAGCCTCCCAAGTAGCTAGGATTATAGACTTTTGCGACTGACACCCAGCTCTTTTTTTGTTTTCATTTTTAAATCCTGATTTTATATTATTAGAATTGACAAGAACTACATTTTATTTTTGTTTTTAATAAATAGGAAGCTCTAGATGTTCATGCAGTTGATGGGACAACAGAAGAACCCTCAAATCTTCAGGCACCAACCACAAATGATTCAGGTATTATATAATCGTAGAAAACTGGGATGTATTTGTGGTTGGGCTCTAGTAGTGAAATGTGCCACACTGACTCTTCTGTGGTATACATATTTTATTTTATCATTGCTTATTTTGTGAGTAGGCTGCAGAGCAAGAATTTCCCAATTGGAGAAGGAGTTGATAGAAGATTTGAAGTCTTTACGGCACAAGCAGGTGATACATCCTGGCCTTCAAGAAGGTAATATTCTCTAAAACATATGCAGGTTAAGTTTTTCTTTTATTCTCTCTTCTTCTCTTTCGTTTCTTTTTCTCTTCTACCCTACTTCTCTGCTCCTTTCCCCTTTTCTGTCTTTCCTTCCATCCTTGATTTCATTTCTTTTTGCACCTCCAACTCCAACTTGAATATTCCTTTTTCTCTGCTTCTACAGATCTTTCTTTTAACTTAAAAATATGTCTAGGTCTATTTTATGCTAATAACCTATATATAGAAAAAAATAGTAGTGTTTTCTCTCTTCATTCTTGTAAACCAGGTGTCATCGTGTCTACTACCCCCCCATCCCCCAATTTCTTTCTTTTTTTTTTTTATTGTTTTATTATTCATATGTGTATACAATGCTTGGGTCATTTCTCCCCCCTGCCCCCACCCCCTCCCTTACCACCCAATTTCTTATTTTTTTAGCTTGTTGCTTTTGTTTAACTTGTTGCTGTTTTGGAGGGGAGGGTCCTACTTTTCCTTATATCTTTAGTACTATATTCAAGTGTGACTACAAATACGTAATTTATATATTTGATACACTGCTAGGAAATTAGATCAAAATTTTAATTATCTGTATTTTATTGTGGCAGATTATCTTATCCTTGATTATGTTGCTTAATTCTGTTCCTTGTAATAATGAAATTTATATTAGTTATTATCATCATGGAAATAATTACTAATTTTCCTATTTGCATGCAATGAAGGATTGTAAGCTGTGCCTCAGTTTTTTGGTTTCTTAAATCTTTGTTGGTAGTACTGGAATTTGAACTCGGAGCTAGGCAGTTGCTTTCCCCACCTTCTTTTGCTTTTTAAGTTATTTTTGGAATAGAGTCTCACATTTTTGCCTGGTTTGGCCTGGACTACAATCCTCTTACTTATGCCTCTTGTGTAGCTGGGATGACAGGTATGCTCCACCATAGGTTATTGATTGAGATGGGGTCTTTGCCAACTTTTTGCTTCGGCTGACCTTTAACTGGTATCCTGAGTAACTGGGATTAAAGACATGAGCCACCATGCCCAGCCAGGGTTGTGTTCTTTTAATTTAATCCCCACATTTGTATTTAGTGTTGGTTCCAGAAGTAAATAAGTTCAGTGCTCATAGCCAGTCTTTTTTTGGTCTAATTTATTTGTCTATTGTTTCCCGATTGGCTACAGTTTGACTCGATTGGCTACAGTTTGACTTTTTCCTCTTATTGTAGATATTTTAGTCAAATCTGTATAATCTTTTTCTTTGTGGAATGGGGAGTTCAAAGTGAAATACTTACCGAAACGAAGTGGGCATCAAAGTAAATTAGCTTGAATTTTGTGGGGGGGTTTGGGGGCTGGAGTGTAGTGATATCTTCCATATCATGGATTATTGTCATACGGGAATGTAGGCCCAATATTTCTAGGTCTTCCATTTTTTTCATTTGAAGCTGGAATCTTAACGTGATGTCACTCAGAGTTTACATGATGGCATTTAAAATTAGTAGTTTGAGATCTAACTCAAACCTTTACAAACAAAGCCAGAGGTGTTTTTTTGAGATAGGGTCTCACTATGTAGTCTGTGTTGGTCCTGAAATTCCTACAAACCTCAGGCTGTTCTTGCTTTTCCATTCTTCTTCCTTAGCTTCCCAAGTGCTATGGTTGTAGGCCTGTGCCGCCACACCTGCCAAATAAAACCCAAAACCATTTCTATGAGCCATTACTTTCATTTCCCCCCAGTGCTGGGGGTTTGAACTGAGGACCTTGCACTTTGCCACTGTACTACATTCCTCTCATGAGCCAATACTTTTCACCTGCTCTACAGATTCTGCATTTGGTGTAAGTTGGTATCTTATCCTAAAGTTGGTAAAATGTATTCAATTGCAAGCAGGGCATGGTGTTATGTATCTGAAGCCCCCAGCTACTTGCGAGACTGAGACAGAGGTGATCAAGACCAGCTTGGGCAACGACGCAGACCCCATTTCAAAAAAAGTAAAATTTGGCTGCATTCTTGCAATTTTTTTTTTAAGCTAGTAGTCCACATAGAACTTAACTTTTCAAGATGTGAGATAAAGTTCTGGTTTGGATTTTCCTCTCTGTTTTATTTTGATAGTATTGTATATCTATCTCTGAAAAGTAATGTGTTAAATTTGAACTCAGTATTTTTCTTTCCCTATTAATTTCAGAGTTTCATTATTTTTTAGAAAATAATCCTTTATGATACTTTAAGTTGAATAAACCTTGAAATAAGCTTTTTGAGCTTGTTTTGAACTTGTGGAAGAAATGTTGATTAAGCTTGGGAAAATGTGTTTATCATTGTTAGTAACTTTGTTGGTAAAATAAAGTAAGGTCTTTAGTTTTGCGTTCCACAATTCTGTTTTTGTTTCCTGTACTTCTCTTACTATATCTGTATAGGTCTGTTTTCTTATACCAGTCTACTTACCTAAAATTAGTCATGTTTTTTAACTTTAAAGGTTTGTTTAAAGCATTTCTGCTTCATTGCTTACCAAGTCAGTTTGTTCTCGATTTTTAAAAATAAACTTTTATTTTAGAACAGGTTTAGATTTACAGAACATTGGGGAATATGGTACAGAGAATTCTTATACATTCTATGTCCAATTTCTCCTTATTAACACTTAGCATTATTGTGGTGTATTTGTTATAATTAATGCATCAAAAATTGTTGATAAATTATTACTTATAAAAACCCATGCTTTTTTATCTTTCATGGTACTGGGGATTGAACCCAGTGCTGTGCGCATGCTAGGCAAGCATTCTACCACCTGAGCTATGCTCCCTGCTATAGCTCATACTTTACTCAGATTTCCTGAGTTTTTACTTACTGTCTTTTTTTCCCATAGCAGTTACATATCTTTGGGATCCTCCTGGCTGTGACTTTGTTTTTAATGATCTTGACAGTTTTGAAGAGTATTACTGAGTTATTTTTGTAGAATATCCCTAAATTGTGATTTGCCTGATGTTCAGACTCTTTTTAGGAGGAGGACCCCAGAGGTGATGCACCATTCTCATCTCATCATATTTAGGGTGTATACACTCAACGTGGTTTATCACTGTTGACCTTGATCTATAGATTGAGGTGGTATTTGTCAGTTTTTTTCATTGTAAAGTTAGTTACTCTTTTTTTCTCCTTTATTTCCAAACTGTACTCTTTGGAGGGAAGCCATTATGTATATTCCACACTTTAGTTTACTGTTAATTTCTTTTATGAGTAATGCTAGTCTTTATTTTTTTTTTTTGAGACAGAGGTTCTCTGTAGCCCAGGCTGGCCTCATACTTTCAATCCTCTCACTTTTGCCTTCTGAGTACTGAGATTATTGGCATGTACCATGATGCCCAGCCCACAACAGTCTTTCAAGAGCTCGATTTCTTTTTAGTTATTTAAAAATGCATACTGAATGTAGTGTTAAATTGTTGGTTAGCTGGAACTTTCTTATATATGCTTTTCTGTCCTGTGTTTTATCAGTTATTAGGTGCTTATATAACTAAACACCTTGATTGTATTTTTGTGGATACTTTGTATTTCAGTGTGTTTAGCTAGAATCAGACTTTTTTTTTTTTTTTACCATATATAGTATTTTAGGTAAATCCACCTTTGTTTGAACCAAGAGATTATACTCTTTTCAGTTATGAGGGTTTTTTTTGTAATGGTGTAATATTTCCCTATTACATTTGTATGTATGCATTGTGTCCCTGGAAAAACAATCCAAGAATTTTCTGCCATGCTTTACCATATTAGTAGCTACTAATATTGCTGCTTTTTATGGTCCACATTGTCACTTGAGGTTGTCAGTACTGTGAAACCAAATTAAGTCTGGCTGATAGCACACTTAATTTTGTGCTTATAATCCCAGCTACTTGGGAGGATTGCGAATATGAGGCCAGCCTGGGCAATTTAGCATGGCTTTGTCCCCCAAAAAAAATCAAACCAAAGAAACCCCCCCCAAAAAAAAAATCAAACTGATAGAATGGGAACAGATTACTTTGTCATTTTCCTAGATCTTTGAGTTACACAACAAATCTGGGGCTCATTGCTTCAAATGTGTCTAACCTGCTTGTGAGGTCCACAGCTCTATAATTAACAACAGTGTAATCATACATAATTAGAAACTGGATGTTTACTTTGGATCATGGTCTAATAAGAACTTAGGGTTTGCTTCTCTTTTTGGCATTGTTGAGAATATCAGCCAGAAGTTCATGGTTAACCATTATGGTGGTACAGAAAGACAGTGGAAAGAGGACTAGAGGGGTAGGCTCATAGAGTTATGGGTATAATGTGTCTTTAAGAAGTAGTGGCTGTGCTCATACCTGTAACCCCAGCTACTTGGGAGGCTGAGAATGGAAGGATTGCAGTTTCAAGCCAGCCCAGGCAAATGAGTTTAGAAGACCCCATCTCCAAAATAACCAGATCAAATGGACTGGTGGTGTATCTCAAGCACCTATTTTGCAAGTGTGATGCCCTGAGTTCAGAGGAAAAAAAGTAGCTACTAATATGGTAAAGCATGGCAGAAACATTTAGGAGTGAAATTTAGTTTGGGTTGTCATATTTTGAAAAGATTTTAGACTCTGTATAATATGTTTTCTGTGAATTGTTTATCTTATTTCTGCAAGCCAAAGTCATTTATCCTTATTCAAATGAAATCAGCTAAGTATAGATTGCACATATCTGTTACCTGGGGCAGAATTTTCTTACAGGGCAAACATTTCTTTGAGAGCAGATATTTGTGGCTGACCTATATTGGGTTGACTTTAAACAAGGTCATTCTCCTTTTAGGGAATCTTATTATTATTACTATTATTTTTTGATTCTGGGGATATAACTCAGGACCTTTTGCTTGCTAGATAGGTGCTCCATCACTTAAGCCATGCCCCAGCCCTTTTTTGTTTTTTGTCTTTTTTGCCTTTTTGTTGTTATTTTCCTAATAGAAACTCACATTCTTGCCTAGGCTGTCCTCAAACCACAATCCTCCTAAGCTCTGCTTCCCAAATAGCTTGAGATTACAAGCATGTACCACCATACCTGACCTATGACTTTAAAGAATATGCATATTTAAAATAAATTTTGGTTTTGAACTGAGTTCAAACCCCACTACCATGTCACTCCCTCATTTTTTTTAGGTGATTTTTTTTGTTATTTGTTCTTAGGACTTGTTTTCCCTAAGATTTGGGTGCACAGGTCACAGTAAATGCAGATGAGAAAATAAGTAGGAGACAGTCTCTAAATTTGATTTTATATATATATATATATATATATATATATACACACACACACATGTACTTTTATATATTTTTTTTCTTTCTCTCTCTCTATATATACATATATATACACCTACTTGCCAGTATGTGTACATTTTTAACAGCTTTGTTGTTTTTGTTTTCTCTCTAGGCAGCTGCTGTTGTTAATGAAAAATATTTTCTTAGAGCCCTATAGTATCTCCTTAAATCTTTTGGTTAGGATTAATTTCTCACTTGAATTTCTAAAGTAGTTTTTTGTTTTTCTTTTTCCCCTTTGTAGTGCTGGGGATCAAACCCAGGGCCTTGAGCATGCTAGGCAAGCCCTTAGCCAGTGAGCTGTGTCTTCCCCTCTTTATTTTTATTAACCAATCTTGGTATGTAGCTCTGCAGGCTGCATGTGACTTGCCATGTAATCTATGCGGGCCTTGAACTCAAGATCTTCTTGCCTCCACATTCTAAATGATGTCATTAGAGGCTCGAGTCACCAACCCCAGCTACAATAACTTCTATCACTTTTTTGTAGTATGGTAGATTGAACTCAGGTCGTCCTGAGTGTTAGGCAGGCCCTATACCACCTGAGCCATGTTCCCAGCCCTTTTTTGCTTTCTCAGTGTTTTTCAGGTAGGGTCTTAAGTTTCTGCCTGGGGTGGGCCTCACACAGTGCTCATCCTACCTATGGCCTCCCATGTAGCTGGGATTGCAGACATGTGCCACAGTGTCCAGCTCCCTGGCTACAGCAGTTTGTTTCCTTGGTTCTACTCTTTTCTCCTCCTGTTCTCCACCCTTCCTTGTTAATTTCTACTAATTTATTTTTCCCATTTTATCAGTGCTGAGGGTTGAACTTGCTTTGACCCTTGCACTTGCTAGGTAGTTTCTGGTTTTTAATTTTAATTTAAAAACAGTGTTTGGGATCCAGTTCGGGACCTCAGGTATGCTGGGTACACGATGGACCACTGAGCTTCAGCCAGCCAAACTTCTGCTTGTTCTCAACTTAACTTACGCTTTTGGTAGCTTTACCAGGCTCCCTTGGGCTTTGTGGTGTTTCTTTTGGTTTATCTCTCACAGGACTTCGTTGCCCTATTGTAACTACTGATGAGTCACTTGGGAAAACATAACATTAAAGTTCCTTGAGATCTGGGAAATGCCTTTTATCAAATAGCATCTGTGTTACAGAGAAGGTAGAGTAACTTCTCAAAGCATGCAGCCCAGTGTGGTGGCTTGGTGTTCATGTTACTGTTAAGGAAACCAAAAACTAAGACTTGTTTTGCCCAAGTAGTTAAGAAATAGTAAAGACAAGATTAAAAACCAGGTTTTTGTTTTGGTTTTTTTGGTGGGAATGGGGTTGAACTAGTGGCTTTGCACTTACAAAGCAGGTGCTCTACCTCCCACTTGAGCCACACCTCCAGTCCATTTTGCTCTGGTTATTTGGAGATATTTTTCTGTGTTAGCTTCAAACTGAACCTCAAGTCTTCCTATCTCATTCTCCCAAGTAGCTAGGATTACAGATGTGAGCCACTGGCACCTAGTTGAAACCAGTTGTTTTAACTTGTAATTTTTGACTCTTACTTTCAAACCCCAAGTTGATTTAGAATCTGAGGAAAGAACATTTTATTGATGTTAGTTTTAATCACTTATTAAGTAAAATAAACATAAATTAAAATGTTTATTTTAAAGATTGCAAACTAAAACAGAATAGCCTCCTTTTGTTCAGGTAAGATCTATGTGGAGGATACACAGGTTAGCCAGATGAATTTGTTGCTTACAGCCTCCCTAATATCATCTTCACCTTATAGGAAACCAGGTTTATGTGAGCTTTCTATTGAAACCTGTGCCTACATCTTTTGCTTCTGTTTTTAGGGTAGGGTTTCGCTGTGTAGTCCCTGCTGACCTCTTAACTCAATAATCCCGCATCAGCCTCCAAAGTGCTGAGATTACAGATGTGTGCCACCATGTTCTGTTTACCTAAAACTTTCTTTTTTTTTTTTTAAATCTATGAATTTTGGCTGGGTGCCAGTGGCTCACGTGTAATTCTAGCTAGTAGGGAGGCAGAGATCAGGAGTTTCTAGGTTCAAGGCCAGTCTGGGCAAATAGTTCATGAGACCTTATGTCAAATACCCAACACAAAAAAGGTGTTGTGGCTCAAGCGGTAGAGTGCCTTCCTAGCAAGCGCAAAGCCCTGAGTTCAAACCCCAGTATCGCCACAAACAAACACACCTCTGACTTTTAATGCTTTCAGTATTATTAATACTTTGAACTCCCTTTGTCTTCAGTTTCCTTATGATTTAAATTAAATACTTTCCCAAAGATTGCCTCTTTACCTACAAATAAAGAAGTCTTTATAACTAGAGAATCATAACCATAATCAAGCCAAAAATACTGTCCTACTGCAGGTTTGTATTAGAAACCCTAGAAAGTGTATGAATCACAAGGTCTTAAAGCAGAAAAGACCATAATTTTGTCATATATATTTGTTACCTTAGCAACAAACTTAGCAACATAACACAGCATATTTACTGTTTCACATTTTCTGTGTATGACTTACCTATGCTTAGGATCTCATAATGCTGCCATCAAGATATTGGTGAGGATTGCTTTATCATCAGAGACTTGGATGATGGGGGGAGGGGAATCTGTTTCCCCTGCCTCAGTTTTTTGGCAAGATTTGTTTCCTTGCGGCTCTAGCAAGATGGTGCTATGTGCTTATACTATCACATACATGTAATCACATATGCACCATCCCCTTTGTCACATTCCATTGGTTAGAAACAAACTGCAGGGGAATGATTACACAAATAGTAATACCAGAAAGTGCAGATTGTAAATCTGTCGCTGTTTCTTTATATTTCATCATTTTTGATTTTCACTCTTGGTCAGCTTCTTCCTCCTAGCCAAAGGGTTTTTTTTTTTTTTTTTTTTTTAAAAAGAAAAGGGTAATATTACGATTTGTGGTCCTTTTTTTTATCTAGTGGGATTAAAATTGAATTCAGTGGATCCAACAGTGAGCATTGATCTTAAATACTTGGGAGTACAACTGCCTTTGGCTCCAGCCACTAGCTTTCCTTTTTGGAACCTTACAGGAACCAACCCTGCTTCTCCTGGTGAGTGTGTAGCATTTTTAAAGTCAAGTACTATTTTTCTTAGTATTAACACTTTAGGTTATTTGTGATTTAGATTTTTAAAAAAGCTATCTTTAGAGCTGTATTTTAGAGCATATCTTGTGTCTTATTGTAAATAAATGATGTATATATACAAAAAGTCTTAGTAATTAGACATGATATTGTCTTGATCGTATTTTAGTCATCTGTTTTTCTTTTATAGATGCTGGATTTCCCTTTGTTTCTAGGACAGGGAAGACCAATGACTTTACCAAGATCAAGGGATGGAGGGGAAAATTTCATAGTGCTTCTGCATGTAGGAATGAAGGTAATTAGGTTTTTTAATTGTTTGACTTTTTTAAGACAAGGTCTCATTTATGTATTGCAGGTTGGCCTTGAACTCTCAATCCACCTGCCTTAGTTTCTGAAGTGTCAGGATTATAGGGGTGTACCACCATACCTGGATGGTGATTGGGGGTTTGTTTGTTTGGCAATATGGAGATTTGAATTCAAGGTCTCATACTTAATGAACAGACACTCTGCCACTTGAGCCACTTTGTCAGCTCTTTATGTTGGTTATTTTTGAGATAGGGTGTTGCTTTATACCCACAGTGGGCTGGATGAGACCACCATCTTCCTATTTGTGCTTCCCCATCTAGCTGGGCTGAGAGGTGTGAGTCACCACTCCAGCCATTGGTTTCGATGAACTTGTGAACTTTTTGCTTGGGCTGGCTTTAAACTGCAATCCTCCTGATCTCAGCCTCTCAAGTAGTTAGGATTACTCTTTCTTTTTTTTTTTTTTTTTTTAATTGTACTTGGGGTACATTGATTTTGACATTTACAAAAATTCTTAAAATAAATCATAGTTTAATTCATCCCCTCCATTGTTTTCCTTTATCTCCCCTTCCCCCATTCCTGGAATAGTGTCAGTAGCTGTAATTTTTCCATTTACATACATGAGTACATAATATTTACACCATATTCACCCTCCTACACCCTTTCCTTATATCCTTCCCTCCTCTCACACTGGTACCAATCCCCCAGACAGGACCTGGGTTTTTTTTTTTTTAATTTTTTAAAATTTTTTTGGTGGGACTGGGGTTTGAACTCGGGGCTTTGTGCTTGCAAAGCAGACTCTCTATCACTTGATCACACCTCCAGTCCATTTTACACTGGTTATTTTGGAGATGGGGGGGGGTCTCTCAAACTGTTTCCCTGGGCTGACCACCAATCTTGAGTCTCTCAATCTCAGCTTCCTAAGTAGCTGGGAATACAGGTGTGAGCTACTGGTGTTTAGCTTGTAAAGACCCCCATCTCAACAAATAAGCCAGGTTTGGTGGCATGCTATTATGGTCCCAACTGTGTGAGAGACCGTAGCTAGGAGGGTGTCTGTACAGGCTGACCCCAGGCAAAAGCAGAGTATACCACCCCCCACCCTCATAAAAAAGAAAAGACAAAGAAAAAGAGCCCCTATCTAAAAAGGAACTTTAAACAGAAATGGTTAGGGGGTGACTCAAGTGGCATGGCAAGCACAAGATGCTGAGGTCAAACCTAGTAACTACTCCCCCCCCCCAAAAAAAAAAAGTAATTGTTGGTTAACCATTCCTCTTCATTCTTTCTCTCCATGCTTTAAACTGAACTGACAATAATTGTCTTGCTGATATTTTGTAGCCACATCCTAGGGTTTAGTTCCTTACCAAGTCAAGCTTATTAATCCCTTTTTTTTTTTTTGGTGACACTGAGGTTTGAACTCAGGGCCTTAAGCTTTCTAGGCAGGTGCTCTATAGCTTGAGCCACTCCACTAACGCTTTTTTGTGTTGAGTACTTTTGAGATAGGGTCTCAAGAACTATTTTCCTGGGCTTGCTTCGAACTGTGATCCTCCTCATCTCTGCCTCTCAAGTAACTAGAACTACAGGCCTGAGCCATGGACGCCTGGCCAATCCTTACATGTTTTAAACTGCATTTTCTTTTGTTTTTCCTACACTTAAAACAATCATCATTCTCAAGCATTGTTTCAAACTTTATACTTCAGAGCTATGTAGTAGTTCATATCAGTTTCATTTTGTTTTTGGCAGTACTGGGGTTTGAACTCCGGGGTTTGTGCTTACTAGGCAGGCGTTCTACCTCTTAAGCCACATATCCAGTCTTATACTTCAAAGTAAATTTATAATCTAAGTGTTTTAATTAGGCACTGTGTGCCTATTTGCCTAATGCTTTTCCTTTTTCATCACGTTTCTTTGCTGTTTACACACTAACCAAATTACCATTTGTTTAAAAACGTCATATCTTTGAATCTTTGTATAGTGTTGTAACAATGTAATGCTTTGACTCTATTAAATTTATGTTTTCTTTTAAAAAACTAAATGTTATGATCTTCTATTTGTTGTTTCCCTCTTTTATAATATTTTTGGTTTTAAATTACACTCCAGGGACTCCAGCTTCTTAAATAATCTTTTGGCGTTCTGTTGAAATCTGCTTTGATTTAATTATAATTTTTGCCGTTTTGTTTTACTTACCTGTGATTTCTATAGTTAGGTCAAAAGTTGCCAAAGGTTGGTGACGTATGTTAATTGTTGTTAAGATGTATTAAGTAAATTAATTTAAAATGAGACATAATTTTAGAGAATGTGTTTTAATGTAATTATTGTTTGGATTAAAGAATGGTTTTTTATGTAATTAGCATCTCTTCTTTTGATGGTACTGGGGTTTGAATTCAGGACCTCAGACTTGTAGGAGTCATTCTACCACTGAGCCACTCTGTCTTTTTTTTTTTTTTTTGTGGCACTGGGGTTTGAACTCAGGGCCTCACACTTGCTAGGTAAGTGATCTACCACTTGAGCCACTCCACCAGTCCTTTTTTTTTGTAATGATAGTTATTTTTGAGATTGGGTCTCATGAACTATTTTCCTGGGGCTGACTTTGAACTTTGATCCTCCTGAGTAGGTAGGAGTAGGCATGAACCACTGGCACCTGGCTCGGTCTCTTTTATTGATTTAATATTTTCTTTCTGAGGAGGGATAGTTTAGAAGTTTCAGTGTCTTATAGCTCAGTGTCCTGGCCTTTTAGAATGACTATTTTAGAGTTCTAAAGTTCTGTCTTAGGCTTCTTTTAAGTTGTTTTTTCCCTCCCCAGGGCTGGGGTTTGAATTGTGGGCCTTGTGCATGCTAGGCAGTTGCTGCTACCACTGTGCTACATCCCCAGCCCTAGATTTAAGTTTCTTGTATCTTCTTATTTCTAGGTGCAAATTCAGAAGGTTCACTGAAAAACCGCTCTGCTTTCTGCAGTGATAAGTTAGATGAATACTTGGAAAATGAAGGCAAGCTGATGGAAACAAGCATGGGTTTCTCTTCCAATGCTCCCACATCTCCTGTGGTGTACCAGCTTCCCACCAAGAGTACCAGCTATGTACGAACACTTGATAGTGTACTAAAGAAGCAATCTACCATTTCCCCTTCTACCTCTTACTCTTTGAAGCCTCATTCTGTATCCACTGCCTCTCGAAAGGCAAAGTCTCTAAACAAACAGACAGCACTCAGTGGCCGAAGTAAGTCATCTTATAAATCCATTTTACCATACCCTGTTTCACCAAAGCAGAAACACACTCATGTGATACCAGGAGATAAGAGTACCAAGAATTCTTCAAGCACCAACTCAGATAATCAGGTGAACAACTTTGTTGTGTCAACTTTAGATGAAGGTACATTTCCAAAGCAGATTAGTTTGCGGCAGGCACAGCAACATCATCATCAACAACAGCAGCAACAGGGAACTCGCCCTCCAGGCTTGTCCAAATCTCAGGTTAAGCTAATGGACCTGGAAGACTGTGCACTTTGGGAAGGAAAACCACGGACTTACATCACTGAAGAGCGAGCAGATGTTTCCTTGACAACTCTGCTTACAGCTCAAGTAAGTGTTTGCTGTTTTCTGGAAGCACTTTGGTGCTTGGCTAGAAATGGGACCAGGGCTTTTTGGCAGGAGGATCAGGTAGTTTGGGGCATTTAATTAACTATGTGACACTAAGGAAATGTCTTCCCCATTTGTTTTTTACCAGCTTCTCACTCAAACCCCTGCCAGTAGAGGCAGACATTACAATTGGGTTTTTGAATTTGGATACTCTGCTGTATAAAGACAATTAATTGGTCACTCTAAAAATCTCTTGATTTCATTTTCTATCATGTGGATGAGTATATTTGTTGATCTTGTTAATAAACTGAAAAATTTTCTTACAATGTGCTAAATCCTAGAAAGCCTAGGAACTAATAAACCTATTCAGAGGAAAAAAAGAAAACAAAAAAGCTTCTGTCTTTTATGAAATGTTGTATTAAGACTTTTTTTTTGCAGTACTGGCATTTGAACTAGAAGCCTTGTGCTTGCTAGGCAGGCACTTTCTCACTTGAACTATACCCCCAGCATTTTTATTTTTTTAACCTATGCTGGTCTCAGACTGTGATCCAATGCCTCCTGTGTAGCTGGGATCAGGCATGTGCCACCATTCTTGGCTTTTTGGTTGAGACTGGTGGGCGGGGGATCTTACTAATTTTTTATCCAGACTGACCTTGAGCTGTGATCCACTTCCTGAGTAGCTGGGATTACAGGTGTGAACTACATGCACCCAGGTGTATTAAGAATTTTTAATATATTAGCAGCACACCTGTACATGTAAAATGGCAGCAGCATGGTGATAATTTTCAGTTGTGAATTTTTTTTTACCTTACCTTCTATTTTAAAATTCTGTACTGAATTCTAGAGCTGAAGAGCATTAGGTGTTGGGACTAAATGTGGACTGAGTTCTTTATTATTACTAATTTCATAAAGACGCATGCATATTTAGTTCTCGTGTTACTACTCTAGCATAGAGGCCAGCAGACTTTTTCTGTGAACATTTTTTATTTTGCAAACCATATACTCTGTTGCTGTTATTCCGCTGCTGTTGTACCACAGGCCATATGTAATGAATGAGCCTGGCTGTGTTCCTGTGAAACTTTATGAAACATTCTGGCTTGGCTCATGGGCCTTAGGTTTTTCAACCTCTGCTGAAGTACATTACTTTGTTACTTACAATTAGAATATTTATTCTCTTGCTTATCTGTTCTGAGCATTAGAATGGGAGATTGCTTAGAGTCCTAGTTGTATTCATGTTCTGTCCTTTGAGTCTGTTAGTACTTACAGAGAAGAAGGCAGAGCAGTATATGACTATAAGTCTTTGATGTTGGAGGATGATTTAGTAGGATCACACCTTTCTGCTTTAACTTTAGGCATCTCTCAAAACTAAACCCATCCATACAATCATAAGGAAACGAGCTCCTCCATGCAACAACGATTTCTGTCGTCTGGGTTGTGTGTGTTCCAGTCTAGCTTTGGAGAAGCGCCAACCTGCCCACTGCCGTAGACCAGATTGTATGTTTGGTTGCACTTGTTTGAAAAGAAAAGTCGTACTTGTTAAAGGGGGAGCCAAAACTAAGCATTTCCAGAGGAAGGCTGCTCATCGAGATCCAGTATTTTATGACGCTTTGGGAGAAGAAGCAAGGGAAGAAGAAGGAGTCAGGGAGGAAGAAGAACAATTGAAAGAAAAAAAGAAGAGAAGGAAGCTAGAATACAGTGAGTATTGACTGAGAGTTAAAACAGTGGGATGACATTTTTTGTAAAATTTATGGCTGTTTTAAGACAGTATTGCCTATTTTTGCAGGTATTGAGAATTATCCTTACATATTCTGTCTAGATGGCAGTAATATTCTGTCTAGATGGTATAATACATGCACACAGTTTTTTAAATTGAATTTTTCTCTGAGAATGGCTGTTTTTTGTGCTAATTTTAATTTTTCTTTTTTTTTTTTGGTACTGGGTTTTGAACTCGGGTCTTTGCACTTGCTAAGCAAGTGCTCTACCACTTGAGCCAGCCATGCCTCCAGCCCTATTCCTCCTCCACAGATGTCTGGTTCAGATTTTTCTTGGGAAAAAAATACAGGCAATCACCATAATCCATAATCTGACCCAAAGGGAATTTGCTGTGAAGACCGTCTATTGGTCAAGTGCCTGAAGATTTGAGGACAAAATAGAGTCAAAACTATGTGCTCTTTTCTTTTGTGGGGGAGCGGTGGAGGTGGTACTGGGGTTTTAACTCAGGACCTCATACTTGCAAGGCTGACTTTTTGCCACTTGAGCCATGTCCCTTTTTGCTTTAGTTATTTTTCAGGTAGGGTCTCATATTTTTGCCTGGGGTTGGCCTCATACCGCAATCCCCCTACTTAGAGCCTCCCCTGTAGCTGGGACCACAGGTGGGTGCCACCAGGACCAGCTTTTTTGTTGAAATTGGATCTCACTAACTTCTTGCCTGGGCTGGCATTGAACTGGGATCCTTACCATCCCCACCTCTTAAGTAGCTGTGATTATAGGTGTGAGCTATGGCACCTGGCTTAATGTACTTTTCTGAAAAGCTTATTATTTATTTATTTATTTTTGGGTAAAATATAATGTAAATTTAGGACTGGCAGTGTGGGTCAAGTAGTAGAGTGCGTGTCTAGGAAATGCAAGGCCCTGAGTTCAAACTGCAGTACTGCCAAATAAGTAAATTTAGAGCCTGTTACCTCCTTACTTCATTCTCAGTTTTTTCCATTCTATTTTGTGCTTGTATTTTGTTCAAATATATTGAATATGATTTTGCTGTATGAAAGGTTTCTTGGTTCCTTGGTTATCAGGGAATTTCTTGGCAGTTTTTGATAGTTTCTGTTGTTCATTATATGCTGCTCATTTCAATCAGCTGATTAATATTTCAGTGTATATTCTTGCAGGAGTTTTTGGCTCCATATGTATGCATATATAGGTATTTATAGAAGTGGGCTATTACACAGTATAATGTGACATTATAATCTGTAAATATTTAAAATATTAAGATCACATTCTTCTTCCCTTATTAGTGATTATAGATCTATATTATAATTCAGTTTTTAAATTTGTTTTTCAAACAGCATCTTGCTATGTAGTCCAGGCTGGCCTTGGATCTCTCAAGATCCTACCCTGCTTCCTCTACTGATGCTGGGATTGCAGGCATGTGCACCATGCCCAATTTATAATTTAGTTTTAATGGCTTTATATTATTATAGTCCTTTTAGTTAAGAACACTTAGCTTTTGGAGGTGTTTTTTATTTTTTAACTTTTTTATTGTGCTGGGTTGGAGGTTTTTTTTAAATTATAAATAATATAGTGAATATCTATGTTTAGGATAACCTTTATATTAAAAGTGAGATTTCTATGCTGGGGATGTAGCTCAGTTGTAGAGTACTTGCCTAGCATGCCCAAGACCCTGGGGTTGATCCGCAGCACTGTGGGGTGGGAGAGAGTGAAGTTTCTATGATGAGTGGTCTTTAAACTTTTATAGATGTTGCTGGTGTTGTACCACTTAACACACATAGCAGGAGCTACGTAGTGCATGTTTTTCTAAACTCTTAATGCTGGGTATGTTTTTAATCTTAGAAAAAACTATATTAAACTGATAGGCAGAAATTAGTATCTTATTTTAAATTTGTGTTTCTTCAGTGATAGGTTCATTAACCATTTCTCCTGAACTTTCTTCTGTAAAGTGCCCTTTTTTTTTTTTTTTTTTTTAGCTTGTTTGAGTGGTTGTAATTTTTTCCCTATAATTTGCAGGAGCTTATTCCCAGGGCACAATTTTATGATACATGTTTTAATTTTGTTCAAGCCTCACCTCCAAAAAGAGCAAAATTAGAAATGGTTAAAGTTGGCAGCCTTTGGCATCTTGTCAGAATGTTTTTCCTCACCCTTAATAATTATAAAAATACTTAATTAGATTTCTTTTTTCATACTTTTTTTTTTTTTCGTTATTTGAGACAAGGTCTCACTATGTAGCCCAGGCTGGCCTGGAACTCAATGTAGTTTAGGCTGGCCTCAAACTTGCGATCCTCCTGCCTCAAAAAAAAAGTGTTTTAAGTGCTGGGATTGCAGGTGTACCCCACCGTATTTGGATCTCTTCTGATTTTATGGGCTTAAAAATTGTTGATTTTCTTGGAATTTACTTGATAGGATATTTGCAGTAGGAAATCATCTCTTCCTCAAATGGCTAGCTACTTGTACCATTAAATACATACTTTCCCTGCCAGTTTAAAACAACAAGCCACACATGGTGGAGGATGCCTGTAATTCCAGCTGTTTAGGAGAATGAGGCAACAGGATTACTTGAGCTCAGGAGTTGGACATCAGTCTGGGCAATATAGTGAGAGTTTAGCTTGTCTAAGTTCATATAAATATTGAGTAAAAGGGATTTATCACCCAAGTTTTTATGATTTCCAAGTCTTCATGTTTTTTTCTAGGTTGTAAATTGTACTTTATGGAACTTTAATTCTACCTCCTTGTTGTGTATACTCTTTTGGCTTTCATTTTTGTCACTTAATAACGTTTGGTTTTGTCAAAAAGTACTGCTGGCTGTGTAAAGGCAGTGGTTATCTGCCTTAAGATAAAAGAATAAAATCTGGCATTCTTAGCCACAAGTTAGCTAACAATATGAAGAGAAGATCAATAAAATTGATACCTATAGCCATAGCAATCAGAGAACCAACAAATTATTACTATTAGGAACAGTTGATTATGCTACAGTTATTAAAATGATAGCATGAGTATAACAGTATTATGAACAACTTTGTGCTGGTGGCTCAGGCCTGTAATCCTAGCTACCCAGGCAGATAGTTCCAAAAATGGGCCTGGTGAAGGCCCAATACTTCAAAAAAATAAGTTATAAATAAATTGGAGAATTCAGATGAAATAGACAAATTCTTTGAAATACATAAAACTGTAAAATTCAGTAAAGAGAAATAGATAGTTGGGCATAGTTTTACACCCTTATAATCATTAGGAACCTGTGACAAGATCTGGAGTTAAAATCCAGTTCTGGCTGCATAATGAGATCTTGTTATATATATGTGTGTGTTATATATATGATGTATATATATATATATATAATATATATGTAGATAAATAGATAACTTAAGTCTTATTAAAAAATTGAATTTGTTGGGCTCTTGGAGGGGCTCAAGGGGTAGAGTGCCTGCCTAGCAAGAGCAAGGCTCTGAGTTCAATCCCTAGTACTGTGAAAAAATTAAACTTATAGTGAAAATTAAACTTGTAGCCCCAGTACCTCAAAAAAATGCTGAAGAAAATGTATGTAAAAATGCTAAAGAAAAATTTAGCAAATCAAATCCAGAAATAGATTTAAAGGGTAATGCATCATGACCAACTGGAATACAAGGAGTACAAGGTTGATTTAACATTTATAAATCAATGTAGTTTGCCATTACTGTAAAAAAAAGCCACATAATCATCTTTATGATTTTTTTTTTTTCTTTTTTGATGGTCCTGGAGCTTGAACTCAGGACTTTCTGCTTGCAAAGAAGGTGCTCACAAAGCAGGTACTCTACTGCTTGAGCCACACCTACAGTCCATCTTGCTGTGGTTATTGTGGAGATCTCACACACTGTATTTGCCTGGGCTGGCCTCAAACTTAAGTCTTCCCAATTTGAGCCTCCCAAATAGCTAGGAATACAGGTATGAGCCACTGGCTCCCGGCTCCATGGACATTTTTATTCCTGACTATAAAAAGTCCAGAAACACTAGGAATATAAAAGTTTCCTCAATTGGATAATCTATGAAACACTTTACAGTAGAAATAATAATAGTAAAAGACTGAGTGCTCTTTTCTGAAAAGATTGGAAATGAGGAAGAATATGTGTTCTCACTGCTTATGCTTACCACCACACTGGATAGCTGGGTGCAGTGGTGCTGCCACTGCATTTAGGAGGTTGAAGCTCCTGAGAAGATTGCTTTGTGCCTAGGTATTTAAGACCAATCTGGGTAACATAGCTAGACTCTTTTTCAAAGCAAGAACAACACCCCCAAAACATAATATACCAGAGGTTCTGGCCAGTGTTAGTAAGGTATGAAAAAGAAAGGCATCCAGACTGGAAAGGAAGTAGTAAAATTGGCTTTATTTATAGATAGGAAAATACTAGGTGATCTTCAAAAAAGTTGCTAGAACTGTACATTAGTTTAAGTGAGGTATCAGCATACAATATAAAAGCAGTGAAAAAGTAGAAATTGCAATACAAAATACCATTTACTATAACATCTAAAGAGATACTTAAATGAGAATTTGACAAAAGATGCATAAGACATATATTAAGGACTTTGTTATCGCTAATTGTGTTCATTCTGGTGTCATAGATGATGTGGTTGACAGTAGGTGTTCAACAAATATTTGGTTAATGAGTAAATCATAGTACATGAGGGTAACTAGAGGTTTTTTAGGGAGCATCCAGTTGATATCCAATCACTACCTTTGCTGAGGGAACATATTTTTTTTTTTTGGCATTGCTTTGATGCTAAACTTAGGTTGCCTAAAGCACCTTCATGCTTTATTCTTCTTTTTCGTCAAGCTATATGTGAAACAGAGCCTGAACAGCCTGTTCGACATTACCCATTATGGGTGAAGGTAGAAGGTGAAGTAGATCCAGAGCCAGTTTATGTCCCAACGCCTTCTGTTATTGAGCCTATGAAACCGTTGTTGTTGCCTCAGCCAGAAGTCTTATCTACTACTGTGAAGGGCAAACTGCTCACTGGAGTTAAAACTGCACGGGCATACACTCCCAAACCCAATCCTGTGGTAAGCCTGGAGTTTGATTTTTTTAATTGCAAGTTTCAAAAGTTGTTTTGTAAAGGTGATGGATTTCAACCAGAGTTTTGGTTGATGTTCATTCTGTGAACAATTTTGTTTCTAGGGAATATGTCTGGAAGACATCTTCCTTTCTGGGTTAAAGTTACTGGCACTTTAAAAATGTCATAAAAGTAGAGGTGATAGCTAAATCTCTCTTCATGAAGCTCATGAATATGCGTTTTTACATATAAAAGTCATAACTTGCAAAGTATTTTAAAGATACTGTTATTTGTGCAGTATAGATTACTGAGCTGTTGAGATACGTAATGAGTATTACTAGAAAAACATGAAAAAGTTTTTAAAAGGAAACTCTTATATACAATAATAGCAGTGAAGTTCAAGATTTGAATTAGTAGTGGTTATATGATTGAGAGGTAAGGAATCCATATCAGTCTTCCCAGTAGATTGACTTAGAGGATCCTCTACTGCAATGCTGCAGAGTGTGTGTGGTCTCTGTACCAGTGCTGGTCTAAAACTGTCACTGTCTGTGGTTAAGTAAATACAGAAAAAATAAGAGCAAATATTTAGAAACTTCTACAGCAAGGTGATTAAACAATTAAATCTAATATTAAAAAACTTTTGCAATTTTACATGTCTTCTATTTTTCTAGTACTTTATTGTATTCTACTAAAGTATTAGTCTGTGATAAACTGGTAACTAATAAGAGCATCCTGCACCACAGATGAAATTTCCTACTAGAGAATCAAATCTTTTCTGACCACTGCAAGATTGAGTACATCCAAGCTGTATTTGTACTATTTAACTTTAAAGCTTGCATTAAAAATTTAAAAGATACTGTTACAGAAACAAAGATTAAACATCCTTTATCATTTGGAGTCTGGGAAACTTTTTGTTGTATGAAACTTGCAGATACGGGAAGAGGACAAAGATCCAGTCTACTTGTACTTTGAAAGTATGATGACTTGTGCCCGAGTTCGAGTGTATGAACGAAAAAAAGAGGAACAGAGACAACCATCCTCACCCTTATCCCCATCTCCATCATTTCAGCAGCCGAGCTCATGTCAGTCTAGTCCTGAGAACCATAGTACAAAGGTGAATTACTCAGCATAATTAACTTTTTAACTTCCAATTCTCTGTTGCTGGTATTAGAATTGGCATTGCTATCAGAATAATTAATCTGCACTAGGCTAATATGACATGTAAATTAATTTATTTCTCTTCATACCTATTCTAGTGACCTATCCTTTAGTTGTACTAAAATGTATTGTTCTTTCTGAAGTAATTAAGAAAATAGAAGAAAACGTAAACACTTCTTTAAATTAAGTCATTTATCTGTAATTGCTAGTGTGTGTATCTGTCTGCATTGGTGAGCTTTCTAAATAACTTATCGTGTGTCCTGTTCAACAACAAATACTCCTTCTGTACTAGAATAGACTATAGGTTACAATGTAAATTATTTCTTTAATGATCTAGTCATTATTAAGAACATTCGGTAGCAAGACTACTTGTTTTTCCCCTAGGTTGTGTACAGTGTGATAGTGATGCACCATTGTGTGCAAATGTGAAATTGTTAACACGTTCTATTGATTGAAATCCTATCAGAGACTTTATGTTTGTGTACTAATCTCTGTAGATACTTAAATATATGTTGAATTAAAGTATTTCTGTGTTAATTTCTTCTTCAGGAATCTGATTTTGAACAGCAGCCTTTAAAACAACTCATTTGTGACTTGGAGGACGATTCTGATAAATCCCAAGGTTAGAATGAAAGCTAGATTTTAACATTTGATAAGAGTTACATAGGCCTGAGTTATTTAATGGCACAAATTCCAAATTAACAATCCAGAATATATCACCTACCTTATTTATAACTTCTGTCAAAAATAGAGATAAGTAAAAGCCTTTTTCCATTATTTGGTTTTAGTATTTTAATTCTCAAAAATAAAAGAAAATTCATTTATGTTGATATGGTATATTATTGCAAGAGGAATTTAGTAATGAGTGAATTTTTTTTTTTTTTAAGCTCTTTCCAAACCTCAATGATATTGACATCATTATCGGTTGAAATTTGCTTCAGGTCTTCCATAGCTGCCACAAAGCAAAGGAGAGAAAGGAAGGAATATCACTGATTTATCTAGGAGAGGCTACTGCCAGAACTGCTGAGAGGTTGTAAGTGACCTCAAAAAATAGGGAGTTACCTGTTTGTTTTTGGTTATGCTTCTTAAGACCTATGACACTTAAGTAGCACCGTGTCCTTTTGAAATGCCATGGTACACATAACACATGATGTTTCTATAGCACATTTGAGAAAAGCAGAGGACACTGCTGGTGTGGAGGAACCTGCCTGAGATCATGAGCACCCTAAGGGCAATGAAGGATTGTATTCTTGACATAGCTGCAATTGTATCACATCAGTTGGAAAGCTCAGTTACAGAAATTTGGGTATATAATGAAATATATATCACCATGGATAAGAGACACATTGGGGTTTGAGTCATCACAATGTGAAAATGGAGTAGTCATATCTAGAGGCACAATAAAACCTAGAGGTAGAGTGTGTTTTGTTTTGTTTTGTTTTGATTTTGGTGGTCCTGGTCTTTTTGAGGTCAGGCTCTTTGCACTTGCTAGGCAGTGCTCTCCTACCACTTGAGCCACATCTCCAGCCCTTTTTACCTTATGTTATTTTTCAGATAGGGTCTTGCATTTTTGCCAGGGCTCACCTTGGACCACACTCCTCCTACCTATGTCTCCCACATAACTGGGATGACAGGTGTGCACCACCGTGCCTAGATTGTCTGTTGAGGGTGGGGTTTTGCTAACATTTTGCCTAGGCTGGTCGTGAACCAAGATGCTCCCAATCTCTGCTTGTTGAGTAGCTGGTATTAACAGATGTGAGCCATTGAGCCTGGCCACTTTTATTTTTTTTTTAAACAAAATACTGTCTCCCTTCCTATTCTTTAGGATTGACTCTTACCTTCCATGTTTCAAAGCAGGCTTGCAGGCATCTTTGTTTTTGCTATGTGTATAGCAGAACACTAAGCTATACCACATAAGCTTAATCTTGGTTATAGGTTAAACTTTGTTTGCAAGGTAGTACTTTCTAATGTAATAGTTATGGCCTTTAGAGCTGTGTTAAGGGGATTGATTCCCTTTTTCTTAAGAGCTCAGTTAACAGGATAGTGAAAACAATTGTAGTCTTGACTTTGTGAGATTTTTTTTTCTGGAAAACTCCCAAATTATGCATGTTAAACTTTTATATTAACTACTGAAGATACATGGGAATGGGGCACTAAGAAACTGTTGGATTTCTTTCAAAGTTTAGTACAGAATGGCTGAGATACAGAAGTATGTTTCATTTTTTTTTTTTTATCAGAAAAAAGCTGGAAGTCTTCCTGCAATGAAGGGGAATCCTCTTCTACCTCTTATGTACACCAGAGGTCACCTGGTGGTCCCACCAAACTGATAGAGATCATCTCAGACTGCAATTGGGAAGAGGATCGGAACAAGATTTTGAGCATCTTATCCCAGCACATCAATAGCAATATGCCACAGTCGCTTAAGGTGGGCAGCTTCATCATTGAGTTGGCTTCTCAGCGAAAGAGCCGGGGTGAGAAGAACCCTCCTGTTTATTCTTCTCGTGTGAAAATCTCTATGCCATCATGTCAAGATCAAGATGATATGGCTGATAAATCTGGATCAGAGACTCCTGATGGTCCATTGTCCCCTGAGAAAATGGATGATATCTCTCCTGTGCAGACAGATGCCCTGGATTCAGTGAGGGAAAGATTACATGGAGGCAAAGGTCTGCCTTTTTATGCAGGGCTTTCTCCTGCAGGGAAGCTTGTGGCCTATAAGCGTAAACCCAGTTCAAGTACATCTGGGCTTATCCAGGTGAGAATTATCTTTAATCTAGATATATCACCTTTTTATACTTAGGTAAAACCTTGTGTTTTTTTTTTTTTTTTTTTTTTTTCCTGAGCCCTCTGTGGGCCTTACATCATTTGTCTTCACATTTTCTGGGAACTGGGTAATAATAAAGTAAATATCTCTTTTTTTTAATAAGTCTGGGTTAGATGCAACCTAGAAGGAATTTTGACACATTTACAAACATAAATGTAGAGCCTGTATTAGCTTATAATTTTCTTTCTAGTTTTTACAGAAAGTTGCTCTTCTTAAATGTTACTGCTCTGACTCTAGTGATACTTGACAAAGATAGTCAAGGTTCAGTCTAGTTCTTGGTCTTTGTTATTAATAAACAGCTTTTGAAACAACACCATGTTTAGAATATTAGGAATGATAGAGGGAGGATTAAAATGAAATTGGCAGGTGTTTTGTTTTTGTTTTGAGACAAAGTATTGCTATATAGCCCAGGCTGGCCTTGAATTTGAGATCTTCATGCCTCTGCCTCCCTAGTCCTGAGATTACTGGTGTGGACCACCCACACCTGGCTGAAACTCACTTTAAGATAAGCAGTAGGTAGTGTATATGTTTAGAAACCTAGGTAATTGTTTGTTGTTTTTTGCAGTGCTAGGAATTGAACCTAGGGCCTCACACATGCTAGGCAAGGGCTCTGCCACTGAGCTGCATTCCTAACTGTGAGGAAAATTTTAATTTAGTAAGTTGCTCAGGTATGCAAAATTAAAAAGAATTGAACTGCAATTGCTCATTTTTTTTTCTTTATTTCATTCATAGTGTTTTGCCAGTATAGAAATAAAGCTGTCTCTATTCTTACCATTTAGTAGTTCAGGCAAGTTATATTAGTAAAATTACACTGACATGTAGAAAGTTCTTTGAAAAGAGAAATTCTGAATTAAAATGTAAGTCATAGAAAGATTTTTGCCTGTTGCTTAATGATATCAAATGCATTTTTTTAAGAGCAAATGTGTGAAGTGTCTTACATTATTGCTAGGGATACTTGACATTTATGAGCTATCTGCTTCCATGAGATAGTGACTGCTCTGTTAAGAACAGGAGCAGTTTTCTTAAAAAAACTTATGATTGCAGTTTATTCTTGATGATGCTGTGTCTCTGCTTCCATTGATATTTCATAAACTCTTAATGATGATGAGAACAGTGTTTTCTCTTCACTTTTCTTTTTAACCTCACTTACTGATTGATACTTTGAAAGCAGAGACTTGCCTGATATTTCTAATAGGCAAGATTCCCTAAAACATAAGCATAGAAATTTCATGTTTTCCTCTACTGCCTGGGAATAGGAGCCAGTATGGAATGTTAATTTCCATGCACAATCAGGCAAGATCCAAAAATCTGAAATTTTGAAATTACCCAAAGTCCAAAAGATTTTGAGTACTGATGTGACACCACAAGTAGCAAACTCCACACCTGACCTCAGGTGATGGGGTTGCAGTCAAAATGCTGGCATACTAAAATTTGTATAAAATTACCTTCAGGCTATGTTTATAAGGTGTATATGAAACGTAAATTTTTTTTGTTTAGACTTGGAACCTATTCTCAAGATATCTCATTAGATATGTGTTAATATTCCGAAGCCCAAAATCTAAAACACTTCTGAGCCCATTTTGGATAAGGAATACTCACCTTGTATTTGGAGAAGCTGCTGAGTAGTAATCTTCAGAGCAGTCTCCAGCAAACAGAGGAGTTATTTGGTGTACAAGTTTACTTTTGGATGGAAAGGTCACATTTTATTTTTGTACCAAACTTGAGGCAGAGATATTCCTAATCTCTGAGAAAAATCATAATTTTATTTAAGTAGCAAAGAGAATTTTGTTTTGTATCTATTAATTTAGAGAGCAGATGACTCCTTCCACTCTCCATCCCACTTTTAATCTATAGGTTTTTTATTTGTTTGCTAATTTTTTTGTGAAACTGGGGTTTGCACTTGGGGCCTGGTGCTTGCACTTGCTAAGGAAGCACTCTTCTACTTGAAGCCACACCCTTGCCTTTATCCCCCACTTTTAAGTAATGAAAAGAAGACATAGAAAGATTATCTTCTGTGTAGTCACTCAGCAATATGACCTATAGAACATGGGTGAGAAACTTGGAAGTTTTTTTCTTTCCTTTTATAAACAAACAGAAACCATCCATGCCACTTGTCAAAGATAGGCAAGTTAATCAACTCAGGCAGCACAGAATATATATATCACATTTGTTGGTTTACTTTCTTCCTACAGTTTAATGACTTTATCTAGAATTATACTGAATTTATGCCAACATTTTATTTTGAGCCCATGTTTTGCCCAAGATAAGAAGACAATATCTTCAAAGTTGACCCTTTTGAAAACTAAAAACTGTGGTGACTTTGTACCTTAGGTTATTGTTACAGTGGTTGTAAGACAACACTTAAATAGTAGATTCAGCATGTATTTTTCAAAGGACCCTTGTGTAAGGGCTTCACTATGTCTGGTCTTAACAGAGAGATTCTGTGGAAGACATTACTCATTATTGCTGATGATTCATTTTGTTGATGTTAATAGTTTAACCAAAATTGCTTATTAATGTAAAACAATTGTATGATACTTTGGACACAGTCATGTGTCTTTCACATTTCTAGGATGCAGAATTGACAAGTTTCTAAGATACTGTTTCCAAACTAAAAGATTAGTTGAGAATATCAGATGATGGCATTGTTTTACCTTCCCATCATTCAGATTGTCTTGAACGGAAAAGGTCCACTTCTTTTTCTCTTTTACATCTGAGAAATAGACTTTTAAAGCCTTATAAAGATGAAACCCCTGTCAAGGGAGAGGAGTTAGGAAGAGAATTTTATCTTTACAGAATTTCTCTTTGCCACTTGTTTCAGGTTAATGGTAAGAGTTACCCGCAGGCTAAGTTGCTATTGGGACAGATGGGGGCATTGCATCCAGCCAATAGGCTAGCTGCTTATATCACAGGCAGGTTGCGACCCTCAGTCCTGGACCTCTCAACCCTCAGTACTGTCATCTCCAAGGTAGCATCCAATGCCAAGGTGGCTGCATCCAGGAAACCACGTACCCTGTTGCCTTCAACATCCAATTCCAAAACGGCATTCTCCTCTGGCACTTCAGCAAATCGCCCTGGGAAGAATCCGAAGCCGTTTGTTCCTGCAAAAAGGCCAATTGGTAAGTTAAGAGAGTGCATATATTTGGAAAAAGCTGTAACTCTGCTTGGCCAGTGATTAAAGATACGAAGATTGTAAAAGTGTGACATATACAGAATTCTAACATTATTACACATGTTTCTCTTGCTTGAATATTTGTTTTTTGTAACTCTTTTGATGACATGTAATTGTAGATGAATTGAACTTAAGTTAGTTTTATGATTATTTTTGAGACTTCTGATTGGTTATATTGATATTCAAAAGATGTAGAATTTTAATTTGGTCTTAAGAAGGGGAGCCAGGTATGGTAGCTCTTACCTATAATCCTAGCTGTTCAGGAGGCAGAGATTGGGAGGATGGTGGTCTCAGAACAAACCTGCCAAACAGTTAGTGAGACTCCCTACCTCCCCCCATCTCAACCAATAAAAAACTGAGTGTGATGATGTGTGCCTGTCGTACTAGCTATGTGGAAAGCATAAATAGGTGGATCCGAGGTCCAGACTGGCTCAGGCATAAAAGTGAGACCCTATTTGAAAAACAGCTAATGCAAAAAGGGCTGGCAGCATGGCTCAATGCCTAGCAAGTACAAGGCCCCAAGTTCAAACCCCATACCACCAAAGTGGGGGGACGGGGGTTGTAAAAATACATTTTCTAGTATTTTTCCTATGAAGAATGGGGTTTTTGCACCAATTGTATTCAACATTCCTTGAATTTATTAATCTAAGAAGCTAGGAAAAGCTAGTGGGGTGGGTTAGTATAGGCTTAAAGTAGAAGGTGCTTGTAAAATATAATTTACAGAATATTGCATCGTTCCATACATCCCTGTTTTGTGAATGAAAACCTTTCATTTGTTTAACATTTTAGTGTAATAGCCTTCTGGAAGCATTTGTGTTTTAGTCTTGAAAATATCTACAGTTGGTTTATTGAGTTCCTCTTTTTGTTGTTTCAGATCTTTTTTAGGAATGTTAAGTAAAAGTGTCAATTTGTCTTCATTCTTATTCCTCTGACAGGAAGTTGAAATATCTGGCTGAAGGCTGGAGTTGTGTGAAGATAGAGGATGGGCATTGTATGCCTTAAAAAAGAACCTATTTTCTCTCTTTACAAAAGCATCTTTGTGATTTTAAACACCAGAAAAAGCAGCCCTTATCCTGCTGTCTTTTCTTATGTTTCTTATGTATTTTAGAAATATGCAGTGCAATTGTCTCCTAAGAGTGCAGCCATAAAGAGCCATAAAGAGAGGTGGAGGAGCTAAGACAGGAGAAAGTGGTGAAAACAAGTTTTTAATTTAGAATTAGGGGCTTGGGGGTGTGGCTCAAGTGGTAAAGCACTTGGTGCGAGGCCCTGAGTTCAAACCCTACAATGCTAAAATTAGAATTAGGAAAAAAAAATCTTACCCTTATTTTCATCTGCTTTAGTTGCTGAAGTTTTTTACTGCTGTATTTTTTAAGTATCCTGACAATTTGAATATATTGCATAGTCTAAAGAATTTTAATAGCACTGAATTTTAATCCCTTTCTTGTTAAAATTATTAATGGTTTGCTTTGAGTTGAGGGAAATGTTTGATTTTTGTGTGTGCAGATTGCACATGTAAGTAGGTAGTACCTGTGAGAAATTGACTCAGTGATGAATAGTTAATGTTGATAAGCATAGTCACTAGGAGGGTAAAATAGAGTTCTGAAGATTTTTGACCTGCAAATTTTTATTTGCAGCGGCTCGACCCTCTCCTGGTGGTGTGTTCACACAGTTTGTGATGAGTAAAGTTGGAGCCTTGCAGCAGAAGATTCCTGGAGTTAGCACACCCCAACCCCTGACAGGGCCACAGAAGTTCAGTATCAGACCTTCTCCAGTCATGGTTGTCACACCTGTGGTTTCTTCTGAGCCAGTTCAGGTGTGCAGCCCTGTTACTGCTCCTGTCACTACTACCACCCCTCAAGTGTTCTTAGAAAATGTTACTGCTGTGACATCTGTGACTGCTATTTCTGACTTGGGAACTAAAGAAACTACTTACTCTTCTGGTACCATCAGTGCTGGGGTTGTTGAGATCTCTGAAACTAATACCAACATCCCTGTTACATCTACCCAGCCTACAACCACTGTGAACTTTATCAAAACTACTGGGATAACTACCCCTGTGGCTTCTGTTGCTTTTCCTAAGTCTTTGGTAGCATCTCCTCCAACCATAACTCTTCCTGTTGCTTCCACTGCCTCCACCTCCATAGTCATGGTGACCACAGCTACATCTTCCTCTATGGTGACCACACCAACTTCATCTCTGGGCTCTGTTCCTGTTATACTCTCAGGAATTAATGGGAGCCCACCAGTGAGCCAGAGACCAGGTAAGGCCTAGTTGGTAAGCTTTACTGTACAGTTAACTATATAATTTTGGGGTTGTGGTGTAATTATATACAAACCCGGATAACCATGTAGGCATTTCTGCTGTAATGTGATATATTAAATTCCTGGAAACCTTTGAATTTTGCAAAACTGAACACTAAAAATAACAGAGCTTATGGCTAATAGTTGGGAGAGATCACTGAAAATCTGTATAGTTTTGTAACCAGAACACTGAAAACAAACAACAGAGAGATAATTTGATAGTTTAGTGGGCTTGGCCTTAGGATAAATAGTAAAAACACTCAAAAACATTAGAATGGAAATGCTGGCTGGAGAGTCCTGAAATAATGCAGATGGGAGTGGAGCTCTGAGCCATTAGAACAGCTGTTGAGTTGGACATGGGAGGAAGTGCAGCCTGCTCTGTGTTGAGAACCAGGGTTGTACATCTCTTAAGGAGGGAATTTCATGTGCAGGTGTTCTTTTTGGGGAGGTGTGTATGTGAGTGTGTACTGCTTTTTAATTTAAAAAAGAAAGTGAGACAAGAGGGCTTCTACCTGTGCTGCAGCTAGGCTAAGAGCTTTTTCTTTTTTCTTGCTGAGGATTAATGTATACTCCTGCTATTCTTGCTTCTCTTGACCAGTAAAAAATTATTTATGAATCAGCATCTATTTAATTGCTACGTATGAAATGATTGAAATTGAAATTAGGAGGCATGTTTCTTTGTTTATTTCCTACATTTCATATCTACATTTATTAACCTTTTAGTTAAACTTAAAGGCTTTCTTTTGCTGGCTTAGGTTAAATGAGGGAGTATCCTGTACATTGGCTTTTTTTTTTTTATATTGAAATAGGTAAAGTAAGTGGTTCTTAGCTCACTCAAAGAATTAATGTGGAAAAAAAGTGAGAGACTGCAAGATTTAAGGGGAAATAAATACCCAACAGCAATTCTGTCTTGGTTATTGATATTTCTCCTGTTTTATTTAGTAGTATGGTCCAAATTCCTTTCAGTCTTTTAGCAAATAGCATGTGGGGGTGAGTTTACAAGTTGAAGTTGTGTTGAAAGGAAAGCGAGTCACACTATTGAATTTGTCCTCTACTTTCCATAAATCTGTAAAACATGATTAGTTTAATGCATTAAATAGTTTTGGAGGTGAGGAGTGAAACTGCTTTGATTTCATATTGAATCTCAAGGTTTGTGATAGTCTCATGACTTCTAAACCATTGTTCCAACCTTTCTCTGAACTTTTAATCCTGTTACAAGGTAGTTTATTTTGTCGTTCCATTGTTTCTCAAACTTTATTCAGTATATACATTCAGATACATTGCTGAGTCCCATCTGTATTCTCATTTACTTAACATTGTTATTTAAATCAACTGCATTTTAATTTAAGTGTATTTTAAAAAGAAACAACATTAATAGGAAGCTAGCATTACTTGTTAAAGTAGAGGTTAAGCCCATAAATACATACACTGGAAGCAGTAGTAATAAAATACATTATTAAATTTTAGCTATTTAGCTGTTAATGGAGAAAGCCAGAAAACTAAGACTGTAATCCCCGCTACTGAAGAGGAGGAGGCAGGAAGATTGTGAGTTCAAGGCTAGCCTGGGCAAAGTCAGCAAGACCCTATCCCCAAAACAAAATTCAGGGCTGAGGAGGAACTCAAGTGGGAGAGCACTTAACCTAGCAAATGCAAGGGCCTGGGTTTAATCTCTAGTACAATGAAAAATAAAAACAGCAAAACAAAATACAAACAAAAAGTCTAGGGGTGTGGTTCAAATAGTAAGAAAACTAGAAAATGCTCGAGTTATATTAAAGCCATAATACCAAAGACTGGTACATTTGACTTGGGTATGGTGGCACATAACTGTATTGCCAGTACTTGGAATGTTAAGGTGGTAGAGTCCTGAGTTCATGGCCAGCCTGAGCTACACTGTAAGACCCTTTCTGTTACTTCTCTCTGTATGTAATCAGAAAATTAAAATTGAAAAGGAAATTACTTTTTTAACAATGTAACATGTTAGTCTATATTAATGTTAATACCTTTTTTGTTGTTGTACTCAGGTTTGAACTTAAGAGTTTGCACTTGCTACGTAGGTGCTCTACCACTTGAGGCACGCCTCCAGCCGTTTTTGCTCTGGTCATTTAGGAGATAGGGTCTTGTCTTTTGTACCTCCATAGCTAAGATGATAGGCACACATCACTTTGTCCAGCTTTTTCTGTTGAGTTGGGGGGTCTCGTGAACTTTTTTTTGCCTGGGCTGGCCTAGAACTGCAGTCCTCCTGATCTCCATCTCCTGAGTAGCTTGAGCCACCAGATCCAGCCTTACTTTGTTCTGTGTGTTTTACATTTATTTTTTGTCTTTGGATGCCAGTGCTTTATAAGCCTGTAATCCTAGCTCCTTGGGAGGCTGAGATCAGGAGGATCATTCATTGTTCGAGGTCAGGCCCAACAAGTAGTTTCTGACACTTCCCCCATCTCCAAAATAACCAGAGAAAAATGAACCGAAGGTGTGGCTCAAGTGGTGGAGCACCTTCTTTGCAGGTGTAAAGCCCTGAGTTCAAATCCCAGTCACACCAAAAAGCTAAAAATTGTCTTTTGCCTCTTTCTAACCAAGCCTTATTTTCTTGCTTCTTTGATGTCTGTTAATACCATATCAATTTGGGGGGAGGGGTGTGTGTATTTTTATTTTGAAAAATAATTTCCAAAATATTTGAACTTCATTTGTTAGTGACTTTTAAAAGCTAAGAAGTTTACCATATACTTCATCTTCCTTATGTATAGCTGTGAAACCCAAGTCTCAAGGCTAGTTTTAACTTTGAAGAAGAAAATTTTATCTAATCTTTTGGACTTGTAAACTTGGATAGAGTCCTGCCCATGCTTTTTATTAGGCAGAAGCATTATCTCTTGAAATGTATCTCTTAGCAATCAGTGTTTTCTTTTTCTTTTTTTCTTAACCATTCTGGATATAAAATTCTACACTGTCTGGGCAATTACTTGGGTTTAAAATAAATTATTCTCAGCCATAAATAGTGTGTTATAGGGGCCAGACAGAATTCCAGGTTTATAGTTCAAATTAAAAGTTACTTGCATCATTGTCAGATCTTATGTCATCATACTTTTTTCTATATATGATGTAGATGAATTCTGATAGTATTTCCATTTCCTGTTTTGCAGAGACTGCCCCTCAGATTTCAGTGGCTACACCACAGATGTCTCCTAATACAGTGAAACGTACTGGACCTCGATTGTTGTTGATTCCAGTGCAGCAGGGTTCTCCTGCACTCAGACCTGTCTCAAACCCACAACTTCAGGGACATCGGATGGTCTTACAGCCTGTTAGGAGTCCAAGTGGAATGAACCTATTCAGGCACCCCAGTGGGCAGATTGTCCAACTCCTACCTTTGCATCAGATTCGAGGCTCTAATACCCAGCCCAACTTACAACCTGTCATGTTTCGGAACCCAGGTATAAAGTTGGAGATCTTTCTGATGAGTTTTGTTTTTGTTGGTGGCTGGGGGTTATGTAGGTTATTCACATTTGCTAGGCAGGTGCTCTACCACTTGAGCTACACCCCAGCAAGTTTTTCTTCTGTTGAATCAGTTGACTGCATGGTATACTGATAACACCAGGATTGTTTTTAGTTTCTTAGAGTCCATCCATTCAAAAAGAACAGCATACTCGGCAAGTCTCGATATGAGTAGTGGCAATTTAAAATTTTTTTTTTTTTACCAGGGTCTGTTGTGGGAATCCGGTTACCAGCTCCTTCCAAACCTTCTGAGACTACACCATCTTCTACTTCATCCTCTGCTTTCTCGGTCATGAGTCCTGTAATTCAAGCTGTTGGGTCTTCTCCAGCAGTGAATGTTATCACTCAGGCACCATCATTGCTCTCCTCTGGACCCAGCTTTGTCTCTCAGGCTGGTACACTGACCCTGAGGATTTCTCCTCCTGAACCACAAAGTTTTGCAAGTAAAACAGGCTCTGAAACCAAAATAACGTATAGCTCAGGAGGACAGCCTGTTGGTACAGCCAGTCTTATTCCTCTCCAGTCCGGTAGTTTTGCCTTGTTGCAGCTCCCAGGACAAAAGCCTGTTCCTAGCTCCATTCTTCAGCATGTTGCTTCCCTTCAAATAAAGAAAGAGTCCCAGAATGCAGACCAGAAAGATGAGACAAACTCTTTAAAACAGGAAACTAAGAAAGCTTTACAGTCAAAAGGAGAAGCTATGGACCCTGAGGCTAATACAGTTAAGCAAAATTCAGGAACTCTTGCCTCAGAAGAAACTCTGAATGATTCCTTGGAAGATGGGGGTGATCATTTGGATGAAGAATTCCTCACAGAAGATTGTCCTGCACCTGTCAAACCTTCTGAAGACTCCTGTATCATTGGGTCACATACAGGTGAACACTGTAAAGATGTTAACGAAGAGTATGGGACTAGAAATCATAATGGTTCCAAAGAAAAATGGACTGTTTCTGAAAAGGCCAGTAATATGATAGTTCAAAATGTAAGTAAAGTACAGGTACAAAAACTTGGTGATGTGAAAGTGGAACAGAAAAAAGGATTAGACAATCCAGAGGAAAAACCAAATGAGTTTCTAGTCATATCTAAGGAAGACAATAAACTTGAATCATTAGATAGCAAAGTAATAGAGAAGCAGTCTAATTCACAGCCAGAGGCCAAGAAAGAACATGGAGACTCTCTGGGGATGGACAGAATTAGGGAGAGATGGCGAAAACACCTGAAGGTCCCCTTGACCCAGAAGTATATTGGAACTTCTCACCAATGTAAGAAAGAGGCAGGCAAGCTGTTAATTAGAGAAACAAAGCCATGTCAAGAAAATTCTGATGTGTTTCAAGAAGAACTGGGCATCTTTGACTTACTTGGAAAGAGTGGAACTGCTGAGAATGACAGAGTTTTAAAAGCCGAATGTGATTCTTGGAGTAGGATTTCTAGTTCTGCAACCTTCTCTATTGTTCCTAGGAGAGCTACAAAAGGAAGCAGAGGGAATGGACATTTTCAGGGTCATTTACTGCTTCCAGGAGAACAGTTACAACCAAAGCAAGAGAAGAAGGGTGGGAGAAGCAGTGCTGACTTCACTGTTTTGGATTTGGAAGAGGAGGATGAGGAAGATGAGAATGAGAAAACCGATGATTCTATTGATGAAATTGTGGATGTTGTTTCTGGCTACCAGAGTGAGGAGGTTGATGATGTAGAAAAGGTGGTGAGCCCATTTTTGTTGTGACTGAAACCTCAAGGATTTAAATGATTTATTAGACAGTAACTTTACCTGAAGATCATTAAGAACTAATACATTCATTTGGATTCCTAGGTTTAGATCATGATTAAATGGCTTTGTAGTTTTCAGGGTTTGTCACAGTCAGGCAATAGTCTTTGAGATTTCTCTGTTACTTTGGGAAGAGCGGCTCAAGCCTTTTATAGATGCTTGGGAGTGTCTACCAAGTTGGGTTTACAAAAAGAAGTCTTTGTTTTTTGTTTTTCCCTTTACCTTTTTGGTGCTGGGAAATCAAATCCAGGGCCTTGAACTGCAAAGCAGACTCTACCACTGAGCTATACTCCCAACCCCACAAAAGATGTCTTGAAACCACTACACCCATTTGGTCTCAGTCATTTCTGTGACATTTTCTATGTGTAGTGATTGATTGTAGCTTTTCTGGTAGGTATAAGAAGAAACCAAGAATGAGTGAGTGACCTTAGAAGTGGAAGAGAACCTGGAGTTTTTTGCTGTTGTTGTTTTTTGTGGTTCCCCTCCCTGCCCTTTGGATTTTTTTTTTTTTTTTTTTTGTGGAACTGGTGTTTGAACTCGGGGCCTCACTTTTGCTAGGCCGGTGCTCTGCCTCTTGAGCAACGCCTCCAACCCTGGAAGAGAACCTGTTTACTGCATTTAGAGAGTTTTTCTTTTTGGAGAAAAACTGGAAAGTACCATCTATTATTTGAATACAGTCTTGCTTTAATTATCCTCTACAACTAAATATTTATTCTCTAGAATGTTTATAGTCTACACTTGGATCGTTGTCCTTTGTATTCTGACCTTTGTAGTTTATTTTAAAATTTATGAATGTATTTATTGAAGTAAGTAGCAGAGTCAGGTATGGTACAAAGTAAGAATTAGATAAACTTTTTCTGAAAAGGACTGGATAGTAAATTAGACTCTGGAACACATAACTGCTTTTGTAGTATGGAAGCAGCCCTAAACAATATGGAAGTGAGTATGGCTGTCTTCCAGTAAAACTTTATTTATAAAAACAGGTGGCAGGGTGTGGCTTGATGACTCCTGACATAAGGTCTGATGTAAAACATAAGGAGACCTGGGCCATCTGTTGTGGGGTGCCCTGAAATTTAAACTGTGTCACACTCTTCAGGAGCAGATGACATATGCCTCTATTCCGATTGTCATGTTTTAGAATCTCACTTCCCTGAGATTCCCTGTGTTAACTAGTCCTTCTTTATTAATAAGCCTTATGCAGATAAAAAAATAACAAAAAGATTAGTAGTTTAAAACTCTAAAATGTTAAAACATTTTACTATTCTTACGCTATTTCTGTAACTTAGTTGTCCATTTATGAGTAAGTGTCTAGCCCTAAAATTGGATGGTGCTATATACATTTACCTTATACTTTCTTTATAACCTAATCTGTTTCAAGGACATACATCCAAGAATATTTTGTTTGGGAGTTACATTGCACATCTCATTGTGCTTTTTTGCATTCTCCCATTGTAGTCAGTTCAGATAAACATCAGAACAAAAAACAGCCCAACTTTAGAACTAGTGAAAACTATTGCTGTTAGTAGAACTGGCTTAACAGAACCTTTACAGTGCCTTAATCATGCAAAGAGGTGTTGCTTGAGTGTACTAATAAGGAATGTAACAGACAAGTTACGCTTACTTTTTAAAGGACATTATTTTAAATGATCTAAAAATCTAGACTCTGCAATATTTATGTACATGTCTCATGCCTCAGTTATCTTTATACTTGTTATTAATATCATATTGGTTGTAAGGAAAGTTATGAATAGCTTCTTTAATGTGAGTCTTCTATTGTGAGAATTACTGGATTTAACTTACAAGTCTTAAGTTAAAACCATACAGTAGCAAGGTATGGTGGAGGTGCCTGTAATTGCAACATTTGGGAGGCTGAGGCAGAAGGAGCACAATTTCCAGGCCATCCTGGGCTACACAGTGAAACCCTGCCTCAAAAAACCAAATCTGGGCTGGTGTCATGACTTAAGTGTTAGAGTACCTGACTAGCAAGTACGAGGCTCTGACTTCAAACCCCAGTATTGCCCAAAACAAACAAACAAACTGTCCCCAAAACAACTATAAACTCTATGCAGTAGGCAGAAATTCTTCAAAGTATTGTAAAGCATTTAACTATATTACTGAGTCTTTAGATTCTGTTGGAACTCTGCTTATTTTACTTCCTAGAGTTAATTTTAATATGCGTTGTTTAAATTCAGTATATATTGTTGAAAGTATGTTTAAATTGGGATGGACAACATAAATAATATTTAGTGTCTGTCAGCCTTATGGAGCCTATATTTGGGGGTAAGTAAGTTTTCCAACAATCCTAAAAGGAGTTTTAATCAAGTGACTGGGATGCTTCATTTCGAGTTTGCTTCTCTAGTACAGTGCAAGTATAGGTAACAGATTATTTTCTGGCATAGTAAATACTTTTTAAAAGTGGACTTAAACATATCTGCTTATCCCATATATCCAAATAATTTTGTTATATAAAATATTTAGTGAATGTTTGTGATGGTGCTTACTTAGTTTTTTGGTTTAATAAGGAAATACAGTAATTCTGGGTTTCTTCTGAAACCTAAAATTCCTTAAAAAGTTCATTCAATTGGGTTGAAAGCTGTAGAAGACTTGAGTTGTATTGTAGTTCCATATCTGCCTTGTTTATGTTAATGTTTGTTAATTTATGAGCATTTGATATGGTGTTAGTAATGAAGCCCCCTTAAAACGAAACTTTTTATTCTTCTTCCTTTCCTTCTCTCTCCTTCCCCCTACCACCAGGATTGAACCCAGGGTCTCATGCATAATAAGTATACTCTTTACCTCTGAACTACACTCCTAGCTCCCAAAATAGAATTTTCCCCTTTTTCACTTTCCCCTTCACCAAACTTTAATTTACTGTTACCTGATCCTAAGGTTTATGAAGCCTTAATATATGCCCGTTAAAGTATCAGTACAGCTCTTTGAGGATTCTGTTCAATATAAGGGTTAATGATACCTGTTTAATATATGACTTACATAGTTCTTGGTGGTTAACTACAGTCATGTATTGTTTTTCTGACCTAATTTCTTCCTGTGACTTAGACGTTTAGGATTACCAGTACTCGTGGCATAAGAGCAAAGTTTGACACTAGTTGGTTTTATAAAGGGAACATACAGTTGAAAAGCTTTGGTGTATATGCGTCCCAATATATTATTTACTGTTACAATAATGTATTTCAGAATAACTGTATAGAATACATAGAGGATGATGAGGAGCAGGTGGACGTTGAGACTATAGAAGAGCTCTCAGAGGAAATTAATGTTGCCCACAAGAAGACCACAGCAGCCCACATACAGTCATTCAAACAGCCGTAAGTCTTACTTATTTTTGGGTTGTTACTGTTGTTTGTAACCATAAACAAAACTAAGCTATGGCTAACAGTCCTGCTTCCTTTATTCCTCTAGATTTTTGTTGCTGTTCTTGGCAGTACTGGGGTTTGAACTCAGAGCCTCATGCTTGCTAGGCAGCTGCTCTACCACTTTAGCCATGACTTCAACCCTTTTTCTAACTTTTTTGCTGAGTAGTATAGATGAGAAAAGGAGCTGGAGACAGGAAGTAGTTTACTTGCCTTGGTCATTGCTTGCAGCCATTTTATAAGTGTGAATAACATGCTTTTTACAGATTGATATACTCGTGGCAGAATACTAGATTTGCTAGTTTGTGGATATTTAACCTTGGATAAGTCTTTAATCCCTCTGAACTTAAGATTCTTTACCTATGAAATGAGGGAAATGTCCCCCATTAAAGTGTTAGATGAAATAATAACGTGCATCTATCATAACAACTGACATAAGTCAATTTATTCAGCAAAGGTTAGTTCCTTTATTCTTTAAAAAATAAGGTATTAAATTCTAAATGTAGTTAGTTACTTTACTAGCTAAACGAGTGAGATACAGGTATGAAAATTTTCCTACCTGTTCCACAAATGAAATGAAAATATGGAGGCTATGAGAATTTCCTCAGGAATATTATTTCGTTTTCTGCTTTATTAAGCCTTGAATTGATTAGAGATTGTAATGTGAGAGAAAGAAGGAAAGGAAGATGCAACTTATTTTGTGCTAGCCCTTGTACTTTTCTTGTTGCCTCATTGACTACCTACCAAATAAAGTAGCAATGAGTTGAGAAAGTCATTGTTCATCCCTACTGATGCCGAGAAAGCCTGAGGAGTGGAAAGTAGGACTAGAAATAATCTTCACTCCAGAACCATTTACATGCTACTTCAGTTACTTGCTGGTAAGCATAAAAGAGTTAAAAATCCCGTAAAATTTAATTATACTTAATAAGTTTAGAATTGGTGGATAATGAATTTCTGTATATTAAAGTCAAGTTCCTAAACAACAGATAAAAAATGTGATCTTAAAAAAATACAATTTACAGCAGTAGCAAGGATAAAACAAAGATTCCTGAGCATATATCTAACACCAGTCTTCCTGCTGTAAGACTTTTTATAATACTATATTGAAAGGTATTGAGGAATTTAGTAAGTAGAGAGATGCCATGTTAATGGATTGGAATAATAAGGGACCAAGAATAACCACCATACAAAGAGCACAAACTGTAAAGGAATAGATTGAAATTAAAGATTAAAAATAAAAGATTTAGGGGCTGACAGTGTGGCTCAATGGTAGAGCACATGTTTGGCATGTTTCAGACCTTGAGTTTAATCCCTAGTATTGGCTCCTGTCAAATAAAGATTTAATTTTTAAGGCTAACTGAAAATAAAACCAGACACAGTGACTCAAGCCTGTGAACCTAGCTACTTGGAGATTGGGAGATTGCCAGCCTGGGCAAGAAGTTTGCAAAACCCCATCTCAACCAATAAAATCTGAGCATGGCATGCCTCCCATCCCAGATATTTGGGAAGTCTAGCTGGCCTGGGCATAACATGAGACTGTATCTCAAAAATACCTAAAGCAAAAAGGGCTGGGAGTGTGACTCCAGTGGTAGAGCACTTGCCTAGGAAGCTTGAGGCCCCGAGTCCAACTCCAGCACTGCTAATTCCATCCATCCATCTATCCAACCATCCATCCATACATACATACATACATAAAGGCTGAGGTATGAGGAGCTCCAGTTTGAGGTCAGCCTGGGCTACATAGTGAGTTAGTTCAAAGGCAGCCTAGGCTCAACCCTGTCTCAAAAAAAAACAAAAAAAAAACCAAAAAGATCCCAATAACAACAACAACCAAAAATTTTAAATTTTTTGAAATTCTATCAGAACATTATAGAAACAGTAAAAAGGTAACTTCCTCTATAAAGAAAGTATTTGCAGTACAGGTCACTGCAAAAAATTAGTATTAAGGATATTAAAAAATGTTACAAGTCTGGGGGAAGAAAAAAACCAACAAACCATTAGAAGAGCCAAGTGATGGATGTATAGGCAGTTCATGAGAGAGGAAACTTGGAAGACCAGTTAAGTACATGCAAATTTGTCCAATTTCACAAATAGTTAGGAAAATGCAAATTAAACCACAGTGACTACCAATTCATACTCATAAGATTGGCAAAAAAGAGAACCTCTGATAATACTGTTAGTAGGAGTTGGGCAGTGGGAACTCATGTACCTGCAGGTGGGAGTATAAATTATTACCACTTTGTAGTGCAGTTTGACATCTACTAAAATTAAAGCTGTGCATACTTCTTTTATGTACCTTGCAATATTCCATTCTTAGATTATACTGTTGGAAAGGTCACACATATATATGATGGGTCATGTTTGGGACTATCCATTATAATTTTGTTTGATCTAGTGAAGATTTGGAAACAACCTTAAATAATGATTTTAATACTCTGTGAAAAAAATCCTTTTTGGAAAATTTATGCTGGAATACTAGTTAAGATAATTGAATTAGAACTGTGTATCAACATATCTCAAGTATAATGTTGAGTGAAACAAGTCAGTTGCAGAAAGATACAATGTGCAACATTTAAAGTGGTATATAATAATATTTAGTAAGAAACATACATTAGTAAAACTATGAAGGTAGGAAGTTAAACTCATTTCAAGGGTGTTTACCTATGAGAAGAAAGAAAGGTAAAATGATTTGAGTAGGTTGCAGGTTGCATGTAGGTTCTCTCTTCCTCCTCCTTCCCCCCCCCCGGTGGTACTGGGTTTTTGCTTTGCGCCTTTCTGGGCATGTGCCTTTGAGCCACACCTCCAACCCTAGGCTTTTTATTTTTGAGATGTATTATTTCTCAAGCGGGATGGGATGTTCATGATGTATTTATGTATTTAGTTTATGTGTCTTAAATATTTCATGATTGAAAAAAGTAATCTGCACTTTTATTGACTATTTGGATACTTACGGAAATACAGTTGAATAAATAATGTGGCCATCTATTGTACTTTGGGAAAGAGATACTGGTTTTAATTTAGATGATTTGGAATTGTGTAGTTTAATGTAGTTGTGAAATAAGTCTTAGATTATTGGATCTCAATAATTCATTTAAAAATACTGTCTTCATTTAGGTGTCGTACCCATACCTCTGCAGATGAAAAAACTGCTGAAAAGAGTCGAAAGGTAGAATTTTTTAAAAATTTTATTCCTCCCAAGGTAGAATATTTTTAATGATAATTACTTAATAAAATTTATGACTAATGTTTCAGGATTAAAACATTAGCTCCAATAACTATGATTTTTTCCACCGAGTTTATATAACTAACTTCTCCCCCTTAACAGAATGACACTATTTATGTTATTTTTTTCCCTTCTTAATTCTTTTGCTTGTAGAGGATAAAGTAAAGTATTTAGAGGAGTTAAAATGGACATGGAGTTCATCAAGATTGATGTGTGTGTATGAAAACAAATCTTAACACTGTAATGATTTGGTATAAGACAAGCCTAAAAATTGCTTTTTGTTAAAATGGCTAGCAGTTCAAAGAGCCATGAAATTATACCTTTTTTTAATTTTCTTAAGGTATTCAGTGGGTGATGTGGTAGCATAATTAAGCAAAGTTTTACCTTTATCTTCACAATAGGAATTGAGTAGAGTTGGGTTACTTATGCCAGTTTTCTTCATGTTATTCTGTCTTCTTAATTTAAGAGATGAATAGTGATGGGAGTTGTTGGGTTGAGTTGTATTGATTGGAGCCTGAGTCCTTTCAAGACTACACCATGATTAACGGCTTTGATACAATTTGAGGAAGCATATGAGACATTTGCATGGTTGTAATCATTTTAACTATATCACTACGTTCGATTTTCTTATTCTAAAGTCTTTTTTAGATTTAGAAAAAATTTTTCATAATGGCTGCTTGCATTATCCATTATTTTGTACCCATGCAAATACTTGGTGCTTTGCTATATTGGTATTTTTTTTTATCTTGGTGTATCTTTCACACTCCTGTGGTATATTAATGCATGATGGAGTAACTTTAAAAGAATGGCTTTGTATAGAGTTTTTGAACATTATCAGGGTTATGTCAAGAAAAGGACATTTAGAAAACTTGGAGAGACAGCCACGAAACCAAGAAAACTGTAAGATGGGAAATATAGTTGTCAACACCTTCTACAAATATTAACAATGCATAATAGTGTAAACCCAACATATTTTTAAATCTGGTATAACAAGAGTAAAATATGGGATACTCAAGAATGAGTAAATACAAACCACAATTTGGGAGGTGAGAGGAAAGAAGAAATAAAAGTATATAGACACTGATATTTTCATTTTACAAAGTGAAAAGGGAAGATAAACTGCTTATTGTTGATGAAACAAGAAATTAAGATAATTATATTCAAGTTGCTCAGGGGTCAGTAGAAGAACTAGAATTAGTTATATAACTTAGAAAGATGGAGTGGCAAGATGTATGAGTAGTGTGTGCTAAATCCTGTTCTTCATAGCATGAAGTTATCTTACTGTGTAGTAATCAGGAGAGGCTGCTAAAAGAATAAAGATATCATTTCTGAGGATCCTTGTTTAAGTGCAGGGCATATTTGCAATTCATTGTAAATATTTCTAAGCCCTGTATATATCTGCAGCTACTTTATAAGAAGTAAATTTAAAGCTTGATGCTGCAGTGCATGCCTGTCATCACAGCTACTTGGGTGGTAGAGATCAGGAGGATTGAATTTCAAGGGCAGCCAGGGCAAAAAGTTAGCAAGACCCCATCTCAGTCAGTAAAAGGTGGGCATAGTGGCATAAATAGGAAGACTGCTGTTTTGTTTAAAAAACAAAACAACAAAGAAACCCCAATAAAACTGGCTGGGCACTGGTGGTTCATGCCTGTAATCCTAGCTACTCAGGAAGGCAAAGGTCAGGAGAATGGAGGTTTGGAGTCAGCCCTGTCAAAAATATCCAACACAAAAAAGGGATGGAGGAGTGACTCAAGTGGTAGAGCACCTGCTTAGCAAGGATGAGGCCCTGAGTTCAGACCCCAGTACTGAAAAAAAAAAAACCCACATAAACACTAAAACAGAAGAGGCTAAGGTCATGGCTGAAGTTGTAGTTGCTAGTAAGTGCAAGGCCCCAAGTTCAGACCCCAGTACTTTGAAAAAGAAAGAAAAGAAAAAAATTGAAATAGAATAAATAAAGTAAAGGAGGCCTTAAGGCGTGCTGGAGGTCAAGAAAGACTTAAAATGTCAAAGTTGGAGTTTTAAGTATTAAGGTTTAAATGGTATGGAAGATTGGGAGGGAAAAAGATGAGTCATCCAGAAGGTAGGAGTATAGTCCAGTGGTAGAGCCTTAGACTGGCATGTGTGAGATGATAATCCAGGTGCAGGCAAAAGCCTGAGTGGCAGGGAAGTGTGGAATTGAATAGTGTGTTTTGGTGAATTTCTAGCAGTTAGGAATGATAGGAGAAAGAAGTGATTTTGAAGAGCAGTAGTTGATTCTTTACCAAATGTGGAAGGTCTTATAGCATTACGGTTTTTAAAATCTCTACCAGTCAAGATTTTGATCGTTTTAATGTGTCAATTGTATCATGAAAGCTGATTTTAATAAAAAATTGTATAAATAAGCTTTTCCAGATCACCCTATCCCCTAGGCTCCAGATTTTTCCTCATTTGAACAGCATCAAAATTTGAGCTGGGAATTGATGTAATTGCATTAGTATATATTAGAACTCATACTTTGACATTGTTGAAATTAGACTTGGAGAAAAGATAGACTGGTGATAAGATGAGCAGTTGAGAGGCTATTACAACAGTCCACACAGAAGGTGATAGGTGTCTGAGATAGACCATGCCATTTGGGATAGAGATGGGGGGCAAGTACAGGTGAAAGATACTGAGAAGGCAGTCTTGTTTGGACAGGCTCCATCAGTTCCTCCAAAACTGAAACATGAGTACTGGAGTGAGAAACCACAGAAGGAGACAGAAGCTTTTGCTTATTATCGCCGGACACATACTGCCAATGAACGGCGGCGGCGTGGTGAGATGAGGGATCTCTTTGAAAAACTGAAGATCACATTGGGATTACTTCATTCTTCCAAGGTTTCAAAAAGCCTCATTCTTACTCGGGTAAGTAAGTACTCTGTGTAAATGATAATAAGTTTAAGAGAATCTTACAAACACTATAAGAAAAAGAATCTATGACCATATGATGGAGATTAAAATAGAGCTACTTGTATTTAATAATTGAATGTGGACTAGTGAATGCCCAAAAACAAAACCCATTCTCTTTACATTGTTGTCAGTATCACAATAGCATAGCATAGGAATATTTTAACACAATTCTTAACAGTTGACAGTCATTTTAAAATTCGAGCTAAGAAAAGTTAAAATTGATTAAAATATAAGTAGAAGGTGAATGTTGTCTATCTCCTTGCAGTAGTCGAACACCTGTCTACCACTTAGTGAGTGATGCTCTTAAGCAATAATCATTATCTACATTCCCCAAAATTAAGCGGTTTAACACAAAATAATGTCTGGGGTTGCGGGAATGTGGCTGAGAGGTAGAACAATTGCCTAGCAGGCACAAGGCCCTGAGTTTGATCTCCAGCACCACCATCATTACTACTACTGTGACTAATAATAATAATAATTTTGTGTGTGTGTGTGTTATTGGGGTTTGAACTCAGGGCCTATACCTTGAGCCACTCCACAGCCCTTTTTTGTGAAAGGTTCTTTCGAGATAGGGTCTAATGAACTATTTCCCTGTCTGGCTTCGAACTGCAACCCTACTGTTCTCTACCTGCTAAGTAGCTAGGATTATAGGCATGAGCCACCGGTGCTTGGCACAGTAATGATAATTTGTGAAATATCAGTAGCTGTTTTAAATGGCTTTATAACATTCTCTAAAATGTTAGTTTAAAATATTTTCATTAAACAAATTGTGTAAGCCTCTCCTGTTTTTAGGAAAGAGTGAGTCAGTTAACATAATATTACTTACTGTTTCTGTTCCAGGCATTCAGTGAAATTCAGGGACTAACAGATCAGGCAGACAAATTGATAGGACAGAAAAATCTCCTGAGTCGGAAACGGAATATTTTGATACGGAAGGTATCCTCTCTTTCAGGTGAGATATATTCTCTATGTTCTCTAGTAGAAAACATAACAGCTTTAGCAAGGCGAAATCCTCACTAGATCTTTCAGATACTGGTTAGTTTAAGGCTTGGCTCCCCAGGTTTACAGCAGAGTTATCTTTGATGGTTGGGACATATTTTTTTGGATTGTAATCACTCTTGCCTTCCATAGTTTTGGGGAATATAGTTAAATCAACTGGATTTCAGTTGACTGTATTTCTCATTATTATGTGGGGTCATGCCGAGAGTGATAATTTATTCCCTATCAACCTGTAGGTAAGACAGAAGAAGTGGTCCTGAAGAAGCTAGAGTATATTTATGCAAAACAACAAGCACTAGAGGCACAAAAAAGAAAAAAGAAGATGGGATCAGATGAGTTTGATGTGTCTCCCAGAACTAGCAAACAGCAGGAAGGATCTTCTACATCATCTGTAGATCTCGGACAGATGTTTATAAATAACAGGAGGGGGAGACCTTTGATACTTTCCAGAAAAAGAGACCAGGCCACAGGTAGGAGGGACATTCTTTGCTTTCCTTAATGTAGATGAACATCAGTTTAGTGGACTGAATGTCTTCTCTTGGCCATAGTTTTTGTTTTAATTAAATGAATTAAAGATGAGTTGTATAAAAAGTAGAACATTAACTACCTTAGATTTCAATTTCAGACTTTACACACTCAAGCAAATCCTGAGAAGTTATTAGTCAAGCTAACATACAAGTCCTACTTGCAGTGTGCAGTTAGTAATTATAAATTATATTTAATTTTAACCAGTTTGTCAGATTTTATACATGATCTCTTGATTTTCCTGTAGTTTTACTGATGGGTTGAGAAAATTGGAATTTAAAATTTTTGAGATAAGTATGGTGGTGTGTACCTATAATCCTAGCTAGTTGAAAGGCTGAGGTAGGAGGATCACGAGCTTATTAGCATTTGGGGGCTAGCCTGGACAACATAGACTGCATCTTTTTTTTTTTTTTTTTTAAGAAGAAAAATTTAATTTTGTTGAGTTAGGCTCTGGTTTTCATCAAATCTATTAAGGAACAGAGTAAATTGGTTTTAGGTATGTTCTTCTGTCTTGATTTTAGAAGTGAGTGTTACTTGTTTGTTTCCGTAAGAGAAAGGTACATACTTTTTTTTAATTCTTAGTATATGAATCAGAGAAAATCTCATTTATTGTAATATTAAACCAAATGGATCCTAAAAGAGTAGTTAGTTTTAACATTGTAGAATCAAATGATGTTACTTTTAAGAAAGGTATTGAATGACCAATTACATGATTTCACAGTTGGGAAAATTGAGGTCTAGAAACTTAAAGTACTTTGTTAGAGGCATGTGGGGAACGAAACCTGGGGATAGAATTATGTATGTCTTTATCTGACTCACTGTCAATCAGGAGTATTCCATTGAAAAGTGGTTCCACAGCCCAGTTCCTCAACAATTAAGAAATTCTATCCCTTAAGAGAATCACTGAATAGGCCACCAATATGGAGTAAGTTGTTCAATAAAGTAAATTCTACGTTTAGTTTTCCTAACTAAATTTGAAATTTACTTCTTGCCTTTCAAGGCAGGTTTTAGGGACAACTCCTAGACTTCTGGACTATACTAGCATTGAATGAAGGTCTTTTATCTATAACTAATTTCAAATTTTTTTTACAGAAAACGCCTCCCCCTCTAACACTCCACACTCCTCTGCCAACCTCGTGATGACTCCACAAGGGCAGTTGCTCACTTTGAAAGGTCCCCTATTCTCAGGACCAGTTGTAACTGTTTCTCCTGCTCTCTTGGAAGCTGATCTAAAACCTCAAGTTACCAGCAATACTGTGGCTCAATCAGGTATATGGTGTCCTCTGTGGGTAGTGAGAAAAAAGTTATCCCCAGACCAGGGGCTGGTGCCTCACATCTTTAATTCTGTCAACTTGGGAGGCTGAGATCAGGAGGATTACAGTTTGAGGCCAGTCAAGTCAAATAGTTCACCAGACCCCATCTCCAAAATAACCAGAGTAAAATGCATTAGAGGTGTGACTGAAGTGGTAAAGCACCTGCTTTGCAAGAGTGAAGCCTTGAGTTCAAATCCCAGTCCCACCAGAAAAAGAATATATATCCCTGTATCTCACAGTGATAGAGGGAGCTTTTGAATGTATTCTGTAATGATAAAAGAGTTATTCTGTTGACATTTGCCTTGGTAAGATATGCCTTTCAGCTTTATTGACAAGAATTAGGGAGCCAACTGTGGTGGTACATGCCTGTAATCCCAGCACTTGGGAGGTTGAGCAGGAGAATCACAAATTCAAGGCTACTTTGGGCTACATAGTGAGTTCCAGGGCAGCCTGAGTTGCATAGTGAGATGTTGTCTCAAAAAACCAATCAGTAGTAGGATGCTTGTTTAGCATACACAAGACCCTGGGTTTAATCCCTAGCACCATGAAGAAAGAGAAAGGAGCCTGGCACCGGTGGTTCATGCCTATAATCCTAGCTACTCGGGAGGCAAAGGTCAGGAGAACCATGGTTTGAAGCCAGCCTGGGCAAATAGTTAGCGAGACCCTAGCTCAAAAAAAAACCCATCACAAAAAACGGATTGGTGGAGTGGCTCAAGGTGTAGGCTCTAAGTTCAAACCCCAGTGCTGCAAAACAACAAGAAAAAACTAGCTTTGGGAGCATTTCTCAAATGATTTAATGGAACTTTCATTAATGTTGGGTATCAGAGTCTTGGTTAAATTTCACTTGACTATTATTTGTTATTGACAAAAATAGATGGTGAATTTTGACTGCAACTTCCTAAGATGGTCACTTGGTATAATTGATAGGGAGGGGAAAAGGGAGAGACAGGGAGGAAGAGAGATGCTCACTACGTAAATCTAAATGAATTTTTTCTTTTTTAACTTTCATTTTTCAGAAAATGATGACTTATTTATGATGCCACGGATTGTTAATGTGACATCATTGGCCACAGAGGAAGATTTGGTAGATGTGGGTGGTAGCAAATATCCTCATGAAGTTCCTGATGGCAAGCCACCTGACCATCTAAGAGACACTGTCAGAAATGAAGATAACTCCTTGGATAATACAGATAGAATCTCTTCCAGAGGAAACCGTAGAGATGGAAGAATGACATTAGGTCCAACACAGATTTTTCTGGCAAATAAAGATTCTGGTTTTCCACAAGTAGTTGATGTTTCCAATATGCAGGAAGCACAAGAATTCTTACCTAAAAAGATTTCTGGTGATGTGAGAGGGATCCGGTATAAGTGGAAAGAGAGTGAATCAAGAGGAGAGAGATTGAAGACAAAGGATTCTCCATTTCGTAAGTTAAAGATGAAAGATCTCAAGGACTCAAGTATCGAGATGGAACTAAGGAAAGTAGCATCAGCTATAGAAGAAGCAGCTCTTGACCCCAGTGAATTACTAACTAACATAGAAGATGAGGATGATACTGATGAAACACTGACTTCACTGCTAAACGAGATTGCATTTCTTAATCAACAACTAAATGATGACTCTGTTAGCTTGGCTGAACTGCCTACCTCTATGGATACGGAGTTCCCAGGGGATGCACGGCGGGCTTTTATCAGTAAAGTTCCTTCTGGGAACAGAGCATCTTTCCAGGTTGGCCACTTGGGAACAGGTTTGAAAGAGTTGCCAGATGTTCATGGGGAAAGTGACTCCATCAGCCCCCTTCTCTTGCACTTGGAAGATGATGACTTTTCTGAGAATGAAAAACAACTTGTAGAAGCAGCCTCTGAACCAGATGTTCTTAAGATTGTTATTGATTCTGAGATAAAGGATTCTTTCATTTCCCATAGAAAATCTAGTGATGGAAGGAAAAGTACTTCTGTCCTCACTGCAGAGCCTGAAAATGTGTCCTCACCTCCCGTCCTACACATGAAAACTGGCCTTGAGAACAGCAACACAGATACGTTGTGGAGGCCTATGCCAAAGTTGGCACCTTTAGGTTTAAAAGTAGCTAATCCTCCTAGTGATGCAGATGGTCAGAGTCTCAAGGTGATGCCTTGTTTAGCACCTGTAGCGGCCAAAGCCGGGTCAGTTGGACACAAAATGAACTCAACAGGAAGTGACCAGGAAGGCCGGGAGAATAAGGTGATGCCTACATTGGCCCCTGTTGTGGCTAAATTGGGCAACTCTGGGCTCCCACCAAATTCTACAGGGAAATGAACTTGTTTGTCCTCAGGCAGAAGCCAGGCTGTGAGGGGAAGTTGAATCTTACCTCCATTCTCTGAGGGGATCTGTTTGTGTCATGGAACTGTGGTCCTTGACTTTGATGATGATGTGGATATTAATGGAGAAAAGGGGTAGGGTTGTGACCCTGGTATAAGAAATACTATGAAATTCTGATCATGTTAAAATGTGTTACCTCACTTGTGGTGCTGGGTCCCTTCATCCTCTCTAAGAAGATGTGATCCATTACTGAACACGAGGTGCCCCTCTTACCCAAGGAGTTCATAACGAGGCTCCACAGTGGTACCTAATTCTTCCCCTCAAGAGAATAAGCTGCTTGAGACTTTAGAATTGCTGTCAAGTGAACTGTAGCTGATAGCTGTTGTATTAGGTCTAAAATCTAAGGAATATGATGCACTGCTATAAAGGGATCCAGAAGAGATAGTTGGTATTTCAGTAATTGGGAGGAGATAAGAGATGGGTGTGATGGCACAGGTCTGTAATCCCAGCACTGGGAAGGCTGAGGTAGGAGGATCTTAAGTTCAAGGCCAGGCTGGGTTACAAAGTGAGATCCTGTCTCAAACAACAACAAAAAAGGAGAGAATGGATGGGTATCATAAAATGTCAGAGTGAAGGGTTTTATGTCATTCAGCAGAATTCTCCTTTCATAGCCCAAGTAAGTTCCATTCTCTCACCTTTCCAGTCAGAATTACAAATTTAAGCCTCTGGTAAAGTAGGGATGCTTTTAACTTTTATTACTAAGGTAATTATCTTGAGACATTAAAAAAATAGTTATTCCTTATTGTGTTTTGGGTGTTAAGAAGATTGTTTCATAATGACAGGAATTTCTGCCAAGTATTTTGGAGGTAGACTTAGAAGGGGCACTTCCCCCTTCATATCACGCAAGAGACTGCTGAAATGCAAAGCATTCTCTCCCCAGACCAGAGACCATGGCCAAAATTAAAATGTGTGAGGCTGGATTTTTCCCAAAGCAAACCAGCCTCCTGGTGCTTGAAGGTTTCGTTCACTGTCACCTGCACAGGATGTAAAGAAAAGTCACAGTAGGCACTCTTTACCAGGGAAGCAAGGCAGTATTTGAATCATAAGATATATTTTTTATCTGCTATCATGGATTTAATGATCTGTAGAGCTTTTTCACTCATTTAACTGTCAGGGTGTGAAGGACTGACAGCCTGTAAAGATAAAGATATTTATATTTTTGTATAGTTGTTTTCATAGATTTCTCAAAGGCTGAAGTTTTCAACCTAGAAGATGAGATTTGTATTGAGTATAGAAATGATGTTTCCTATATAGTTTGTAAATAATCATGGTGCACTTGAGGGGTCTCTTGGAAACTCCTGGGGGCAAGAATCACTATTCTGAAAATGTATAGACTGGGATTTAGCTGCTGCATTTTGCCTTTCTTAAATAATTATATTTTGGAATGTAACCCCTGTTCTGTCTTTATTGACAGGATTTGCTTGTGTGGTAAAACACTAACACAAGAGCTTCCAGTGCCTGGGCTGTGCCTGGGTGATGTTATTTCCCCTGCCTTCTTTATCCCAAGTCCCACTCAGCATATCTTCAAACCTAGGTTGTGAGACCAACTTTGAAATGGATCTATCTAGCCAGTGAATTATTACTTCCAACATTGATTCCCCTTCCGTTAACTCTGATAACAAGTAGGTTGAAAAGATGGGAAAACTTCCTCTGCAAAGTGCAGTGGGAACAAATTCTTCGTTGGTTTTGTGCTGCTTGCCTTTCTAGACCTCAACAGCACTTAACTTTCCCTCTTTACTGAAGAAGCTTAAAGTAGTTATTTAAAAAAACAATAAATAAAAGTGTTCCTCATTATCCCTTCTACCCTTTACCCAGCAAATTTCATCCAATGCCTTAGCCAAGGAGTCCAGCCCCTGTCTCCCCTGCTAATAATCGTCCTTGGAGATGCTAGTTCTTTAACCGGGTATAGCAGTTTCTCATTTCATTGCTTGTCTCTTGCCCATGTCCTCCTGACTTCCCAAGGCTCTTGTGGCTTTTGAGGGTCAGACAAGGAGCAGGCAAGGGAGTGATGAATAATCCTCAGGAAAAGAAGGACCATTTTAGCTTCTGTATACTTTCCCTTTTTTAAGAAAATAGGCAACACAGGTCAAGGTCATTTCTTGATTAGAGGATATTTGGCTGTGTGTATAAGAGATACACAAAGATAGAAATGAGGGATGATTCCAGGTGTTCAGGGAAGGCTGCAGATGTTATTACAAACCCCCAAGGATACAGTGTTCTAAAGACAGATCTAGGAGTCATCAGGGCTAATTAGAGGAGGGCTCAGTCTTCAGAACAATCCTGTAGTCTTGACAGAAATCTAAAATATCCCAAAACTCCTACCTTTTAAACTTAACCTAGGAGAAAACTGATCTATGAAAATTACATGTGTGATTAAGAAAGATGAAGTTGAGTGAGAAGATTTGAGGAACCTGGAAGACGGTGAGCTTTCATCCTAACTCTGTAAGAAGCATGATTTCAGTAAACCAATAATTCGCCTTTTTATACATCTGTAAATAAATGGAATGTTTTTAAGAATATAATTATGTCAGATTTAGCATTTTCTTTTGTATATTAAATATATAATTCTTTCATTTTCTGCTTCTGAAAGTGACTATTTTTTTAGAAACAATAGAAGAAGCTTGGCAATTGAAAGGCAAGTTCTATAAACCTGAAATAAATCAGTTATACTAATTAAAGCAGGATTTGCTGTTGGGAAGTTTGTGCAGAGTTGGAATAGAGAATTCTTAATGAGACAAATTTGAGAGGGGGGTACCAATGAAGTAATTTTATCATAGAAATTCTTCCTGATCTCAAAAGTTTTTGACATGCCATTTTGGGGGAGGTTTTTGGTATTCTTACCCTTAAAGCATGCCCTAGTTTCAGAATTTTGTACAACTTGATGACAAGTATTTGTCTTAGTCATTCTACAATCAAAAAAGGCTAACCTTATAGTTCATCTGTTACCTTGAGGAATAACAGGACATAAACACAATCACATAAACAGTAGGTGTTCTTAAGGCAAGTTGTTAACTAGTTTACAAAAAGTTGTATTAAGGGAGTCCTTTAGACATTGAGCTACTCATAATCTATTTAAGGTCATTGACAGATCAAGTTCAGTACAAGTTGACTACAACTTGACAGTAAATGCATTCCCTCCCACCCCCAATTATGGATGAAATACATGATGCTAGGCCTTTCTGTAACAGATCTGAAAATGTTTTGAACACAGAAAAAGACAATTCATGTATTATTATTGACAAACTATATTATTGACAAAGTTTGTTAGTTTTTTTTTTTCTGACTATATTGGCTGAGATATTTGAAAAGAAATGGGATTAAGTAAATTGAGAGGTAAATGTACTTTGAAGACAGGTCTACTGAGTAGTAATTTTAAAAACATGCACAGCGGAGACAGGACATTTTCATGTACTTTTATGAAGAATAACTGAAAAATACACTTCTTGCACAAAATTGTTGATTTTTGAAGGAAAGTGCTGTAAGAACTTCAGTACTTCTGTGTGCCGAATAAATTTTACATGGACATGAATGAGTGCACAGAAAATTAAAGCTAAAGTATATTATTGCCAATGGAAGAAATGCCAATTAAAATCATACTTAAAGGGAAATAATTCGATATATACAACTTTTAAACTGAGGCATAACTCTGATAATATTATTAAATGTGACTGAATTGCTCCATGAAGGCACATATTTGCTAAGTAATAATTATGGAGATGTGTATGAAGGGTGGGGAGGTCAAACCATGGATGAGTTGGGAGTTTTGAAACTAATCTAGTAAATTTTTCCATTGTCAACTCTGCTGGTAGAAGAGACTTTGTTAACTAGGAAAACAGCCTTGGAAGCATTCTCTTGATCCATCGATCAACTGCAATCATTGGTCTCAGTGCCTTGCATGTAAAGGTGCTCAATAAATACTGGATTTGATGAGCAAATGTTTACTCTAGCTTGTTAGTTTCCTACGATCTTATAATTGTCCCTAATTTGCCTAGGCTGAATTTAAAATTTTGATTTAATCTAAACAAAACTGTATAGCATCTGTTCTCAGACATCTGGAATTTCAGAATCTGACAAATAGCATGTATACATGCACATGCAGAATAAAGCAGTGAAAGTGTATGGGTTGATGAAATACTTAGATGAGAGTCCTGCTGCATTTTGGATAGTGGGATGGCAAGTATTTGAGTAGAGAAAGGGAATACCCACTTCTATTCACACTTGATCTGGGCCTGTTTTTTAAATTTAATTTTTTAATTAGGATATATTGTGACAATTCTGAATAGGCTTACATTGTACATTGGTTAGACAGCTCACACCATATCTCCCCCTTCAACTCCCAAAAGGCTGTTATTTTTTGAGGAATCCATGAAACATGAGAACAGTCTATGGTCCTTCCCATACTGGCATGTTAAAGGCAGCATGGTACCTAGACGATGAAGGATTGTGAAGAATTAAAAATGTGTGTTTTTGGTGTCGGTGGCTCACACCTGTGATCTTAGCTACTCAGGAGGCAGAGGTCAGGAGGATCACGGTTCGAAGCCAGTCCAGGCAAATAGTTGGCAAGACCCTACTTGAAAATATCCATTACAAAAGGGGCTGGTGGAGTGGCTCAAGGTGAAGACTCTGAGTTCAAGCCCCAGTACCACCCAAAAAAAAAAAAAAAAAGTGGTTTTGGCCATAGACTTAAATTCCCTCATTACATTGTTCTGTTTTTCAGCTTAGACACAATCATCTTAGTAGATCATGTTTAGATAAGGAAAGCAGGAACTTAGATTTGCTGTTCAGCTCAGCTTCAGATGACAGTATTTCAGGAAACATTTTTTTCTAAGGGGCTAAACCAAAGTACCTTTGGACCAGAAATGACCAGTGACACTCTGTAAGCCTATTTACTTGGCTGTGAGTAGTTGGGTGAGAAAACCGTTAGTGAACACAAAAGGGACCTGAAGAGTTTTGGAAGTGTTTTGAACACGGAAGAAAGCAGACAGGATTAGGGACAACTTGGGTGGGCACATTTTTTTTTTTTTTATGTTTCTTGGGTGGAATTTAGTTGCTAGAGTCTGTAGCACACAAGTAAAGACACCAGGTGGCACCATTCATTAGTGTTGCAGCAGCTTCTGAGGAGAGGTCAAATAGACTATAAAGAGGTTAATGGAATCATCTGTTTCCCTGGCCATAGCTAATGGCTCTTGCCTCTTCCCTCCAGATTTAGGAAACAAATTTGAAAATCCCATTTTAGTTCATGGTTGAAGGGGATGGAGGAATGAGTAAATGGTTGAGTGGGGATTAAGTAGCCTATCTCTTGATTCTGTGTCACCTGTGAGCTTTATAAGTCTTTTCTTCCCCCTTAGGGTTATTGTTAGACTGAAAGAGGCACAGAATAGATAGGGGGGAAGACAGGCTCAATCGTAGTCAGCACGGGGTTTATTTGAGAAGAAACCTTGTGGAGGGGGTCCCTAGAAAGAGAGCTGGAGCCCACACTGCTTACAGACTAGGGGTAGCTAGGAGGTTGGAGAAGTCTCAGGAAGGTCACTGGGTGGGAAAATTCTCAATGGCCCTCTGACCCTCTAAGATAGGTCATTCCTCTAGGTCAGGTGGGGAGTTTCTAGGAAATGGCTAAAGGTGGATGTTTATTCTTTAGAGCTGGGTGGAGAGTTTTCAGTAAGCCACCTTCAAAGGGGGAAGGAGTCCAGTTCTAACATGGCTGCCCTTTTGTTCATCTTACCAGTTATTTTACTGAATTTTCAAAATTCATACTCAGCCAATAACAAAAATGCTCAACAATCAGAAATTTCAGTAAGCAACTGAGTTTTGCTTCCTTAGATTTATATATCTTGTTTTTAGTTTGTAGCTACAGAGCACTGCAAGACTGCTTTGCCCTTTGGCTGTACAAGGTTTACTCAGCAAAGACTTCAGGGCTCCTTCTCTTTGGCTAACATGTCATCTTCCCCAGGGATTCCTAAGGTCTGGATAGTGTACTGTTTTTCTGGGGCGTTAAGGCTAAGCTTTTAAAAGTTAATTTGGTGTAACCAGGGCGAGCTTCCTGAGGCTCCTTAGGAAATAAACTGACTTACCCACCAATGAACATGGATTTATATTTTCATGTACTCCCGTGAACTAGAAAATTTACACTACCAAATCTAGTACTAGGAGGTTTGACTGTGACCTCGGCCTATCAATCAGTCCGGGAGTAAGTATTCGCAAATTTTGACAAGGCGGAGGGAGATACCTGTAGTATTCTAAGTGCTAGCTAACAACTCTGGGTGAGCGCTACAGGACGTTGGAGGCTAAAGAAACCATGAAACATTCCATAGGTGCATTCACTACTGTACTTCTTCACACGCCTGCTCTGTCTGTCCTTTCTTCCATCACAAACAATCAGGTTGCCCAGTTCAAAACGCTTGAGTTTGAAATGTATTACTGAGAAGAATCCTTTCCACGTTGGTCAGCGCGCTAGCCTGGCAGTGCTCAGAAAGCTATTTCAACCGCTTTAAATCCCAGTGCTTGGGGTGGTTGAGTGCAGAGCCTTTTGGCTGTATCGCAACCCCGTAGTTACTAGCTGGAAGTTAGTTCAGCTGTGATGCCTCCAGCCTATCAAATGCCAACCTTAGCACCCCGGGGGTGTGGTTATCGTCTAGGAGATCTGGGGGGGAGGGAGCAGGCCTGATAATACCATAAAAGGCCTGGTTGTCTCAATTCTGAAGCCGTGTGATGTTGACCTTGCTCTAAGAGCTTCACCCACGGGTATATACTGTGCGGAATCTGCTGCAGTCGTTGGAATCCAGAGTCCTGTGTTTACGAGGCTCTTACATTGGCTCCGCCCCTCGTGGGCGTGGCTACCCCACTCGGAATCCACCTCCTGGTTTTACAGGCCACACCCCTCACGTTGACTCCGCCCTTCCAGCCCCGTAGCGCGGCCCAGGCGCTAGTTCGCGTTTTGAGCCGCTGGTGCCACCATAGCTGCGGCTGCCGCTGCTGCGGCGGAGCTGACTGAAATCGTCGAGCGCAATGCCTGACGGCGCTGTGAGCCGGGCAGCCCTCGAGCCCCGGGGCCGGTGAGGCTGGGCCCGAGCGGGGGCGCTGACGAGTAGCAGGGGCATCTGAGGCGGGTCAAGGAGAAAGATCCAGGCCCGTGCGGAGGGCGGAGCGCGAGCTCCCGAGGACCGGGGGTGGGTGGGTGGGTGGGTGGGGGGAGGGAGGGAGGCTCCCGTGGCAGTACGGGTGGCTGGGCCACAGCCAGCTCCGCCGCGCGAGTCCCCGCGGCTGCCCAGGTCCTCGGAGGCCTCCTCCCTAGGACACCGCAGTTGCCATGGGAACAGCCGGGCATTAACGGGGACCGGCCACCAGCCCTATTAGTGCCTATCCAATTCTCCAGTTAAACGCCCCTGGCAGGCAGGCGTGGGCCTGGTATTTCTTCATTCTAAGGATTTCCCCCGCTTTTGATGGGCCTGTCCTTCCCCAGCTGTAAGAAACCCACGCAAGGCTTGAAGGTAGGGAAGAGGGGAAAGGAGAAGGCGGTACCTAGAGGTAAACGCTGCAGAAGACACCTACTGTCATGCTAAGGTGGCTTCTGCCATTGCAGGCCAGTGAAAGGGCATATTGGTGAAAGACCGTGTGGAGTGGGAAGGCAGTGCCACTATTGAGACAAGTCCCAAGACTGGACCAGGGACTGTCCCAAGGGGCTTCTCATCATGATGGCTGTGGAAGGGTCAACCATTACCAGCCGGATCAAGAACTTGCTGCGGTCCCCATCCATCAAACTACGCAGGAGTAAGGCAGGAAACCGGCGAGAGGACCTCAGCTCCAAGGTGAGTCCTCTCGGTAGCCACCCCTTTCCATCCCTACCCTCTCCTCCACGTTCCTGCTGCACCTTTTTCTTGGAAAAGAAAAGAGCTCTGAAAGATCAAATGTGTGTGCTTTCTGCCCCTCAAGAAAGCATTGACTTTATTTTAGGCTGAAGGAACAAGAACAGCAGGGGTGGGCATGCTGAGATCCACCCATAAGAAGAAGTGAATAAGAGAAGGCAGCCTGGGTTTAACCATGACCTCAGTACAAACTACATGTGCTTGGGGAAGTCACTTGACATGCTGTGACTCAGTTTCCCTTCTTGAAAAAGGACAAGTGGGATCACATATTCTGAAGGACGAGGCTGTGGCTAATGTGGATCCAGTGTTTATGTCAGACTATAGTAGCAGAAAGAAATACACTAAAACACCTTCTCTGAGATATTGGCCGAATAATTGCTCTTGCTGGGGTCAAAACAAATTTCTCTCTTTAAGAAACTTAATTTAACTAGAACTTGTTGGCTTCTTAGGAAGAATACGATGCAAGAGCCACATGTGTGCCAGGAAAACACTTCTGCTTTGGCCTGGAGCATTGCTTATCCCATTTACTGCATGCCAAGAGTTACACCCTATCTGGGGCAGGTGTTCCTCAGAGGCAAAGTTCTTTTCCCTCCCTTCACTTGTCTTTTGTTTTGTTTTGAGACGGAGGGGGGGGGGGTCTCATGATGTAGCTCAGGCTGGCCTCGAACTGGAAATTCTCCTGCCTCAGCTTCCCGAGTTCTGGGATTATAGACATGTACGCCATAACCAACTTAGTCCTTCCGCTTACTGAACTTTATTGAGTGCCACAACTTTGAGCATATAAAAGTAGACTGAATTTATTTAATCCCTTAAGGGAGTTCAAGGCTTTATTCCCACAGGATCATATTAGATTCTGTGTCTTTATTAGCAGCCTATAAACACAATAGCTTTGTGTGGTACAGGATTGCCAAGGGGAGAGTCATTTGAAATAGAAGCATTTTATTGTCTTTCCTGTGACTCTTCAGAGATGAGTAAACCCAGTGAGGAATGATTCAGAGTGCCAATGTATGACTTGACAGGCTTCTGGGAGGACTTAGTTCAGATCCCTATCCCTTAGCAGAACCTTAATTGGATTTGGTAAGAAGGTGAATGGCTTTCCTATATGTTTTAGCAAAATTTGCCATAAGGTGCACACATCAGCAGCACATATACTAAAATTGGAAGTATACAGAGACGATTAGCGTGGCCCCTGTACGAGGAAACATTCATATATTTTTTTAAAAAATCGCCATAAGGTTCCATGGTGGTGGAGATAGTGCCCTTTCCAGAGACTCTTACTAATCACCCACCGTTTCTATTCTCTAAAGGCAGGAGAATGAGCCCCCAAATTAGAAATGATCTTAGATAAAACTCTCTTTGCTCATTCTTAGAACTGAAGGTGCTCTTATTTCTGGCTGGTAACTGGGCAGTGTTCAGCAATATTAGACTAATCGTCTCATATCTTTGAGCTCTTATTCTGGCCAGGAATGGTATACATAGTGGAGATGCGTAATGAGAATTTACTCTTCATTGTGAATACTTACTGTAATTTTGGTTGGGAATCTAGAAGGTACCATGGCCATTCTTTAAGACTTCCCATGTTATTCATCATTAATGCTTTCAACAAGTGTATGTTGAATGCCTTACTAGGTGTGAAATCAGTAATGAATAAAACATCATCCTTCCTATCACAGAGCTTGTGGTTAGTCAGACATACAAACAAGTACAACCTTGTTTGCACAACCTGATGTGGTAAGTGCTGTTTTAGAAGTATGCATTAAGTTGTTATTGGAAGCACAGGTAAGAGTCCCTAAGTTAATTTAGTGGAATTAGGAAAGACTTCACAGAGGAAGGGATGCTTGAACTGTGAGTCCCAAGGTAAGAAGAGAAGAGTTTTCTAGCAGAACAGTGAAAAGGAGGGCATCCCTGGCATCACCACTAAACATCTCTGTTTCAAAAAGGATTTCAGTGCTTCAGGCTGCTTTTAAAGGCTTTGTCCTAAGCTGTATGAATGAGATGTTTAGCTGAAGTTGAATGACCCTTGAATGGCATTGACAGAACATGAGCACCATTGCCTATCTTTAACACCCAAGAGCAGTAGCTGTCTTTGTGTACCTAGCACCCCAGAGATGGCTATCTCCCTTAGTGATAGCCTTAGTGAAGACTCTCTACTTAAGGTCATTCTGAAAGCCTGCTTGTGGTAACTCACCTTAGGACCTGCTCTGTTAGGCTCTGTGAGTCGCTGTAGTATGTGGTAGCTGTAGGTATCATGGAAACAGAAAGCTTGTGATTCACGGATAGCTAATTTTGAAGTAAAAAAGACATGTGTCTTAGGGGTGAAAGAAAGAAGTGTCAGAGGGCCTTACACATCTGTTACCTCAGATGGTCTCCTGCTTAATTTTTTTTGGTGGTACTGGGGTTTGAACTCAGGACTTCACACTTGCAATGCAGGAAGAGCTTTACCACTTGAGCCATTCTACCAGCCCTGTTTGTTTTTGAAACAGGGTCTTTCCTCTGTAGCCCAGGCTGGCCTTAAACTCAGTCCTCTTGCTTTAGCTTCTGAGTGCTAGGATTACAGATCTGTACCACCAAGCTTGGCTGCCTCCTGCTTTGAATCATTCTATTCTGACTATCTAAGGTATAGCCTTGTTCCTTTTTACCAAATTCTACACTTATTTTTAGATCCATCTCCATATTTTCCCGAGCTGTAGGGCCTTCTCCTACTAGCCCACTTCCTATAAGTCAATCTTAGTTGTCTTTTTATGTATGTCTTAATTTCCTAAGGTCAGGGGCATGTTCTTTATTTCCTTTACAGTACACTATTCAGGACAGTGTAATGGAGTAAATGAATATGAGCAATTAATTTATCTATTTACTTTAATTTTTAGCAGTACTGGAGTTTGAACTCAGGTAGGAAGGCATTCTGCCACTTGAGCCACACCCCCAGCCCCTCAATGTGAACAAAAAAAATGTCAGATACAGTGGGGATAAACTTGTAAGTCCAGAGAATAAGAAATGATCAGGAGGACTTTGTGACCTCTTTAGAAGAGAAATCAAAACTAGGAACAATAAAATGGTGAAAAAGACGTAGAGATGCAGCCTATTTATGTGTGAAGTGTACTAATAGAGGGAAGTACACATTTGTAGAAAGTACTGCTCATTAAGGACTTTTTATTCAAGAGATACACGGTTAAAAATATGGCTACAATATGGTTGAAAGCTGAAATGAAAGGGCTAGTAGAAGTTGAGATTTAAAGTACTACAGAGAGAGTATAGAGCTGGAATTTTTATCAAGTTTTTTCAAAGGGAAGGGAACCTCTGCAGTGGAGTAAATTGGAAAAGAAATGTTTGCGATTTTATGCCGGGTCTACTAAGCCTTGAAGTACAACTCAAAAGTTATCAGTTGCAAATATATCCTTCACATTCAAATCCTGTACATTTGTCAGTTCTTGCCTTTCATCTCAGTTGAAGCTGTGTTTTCTTTAAGAATTAAATGTGTGTGCTCTTGATAGCTAACCCTCCCCCTCTCTTCCTAAAGTTTCTGAAAGATTTTTATGTGGAAGGAGCTGGGCTGTTTTATTTTAACAAAGGACAGAAATGGACTAAAGCTGAGCAGGCAAGATCGAAGTTGCGGGAACAAAAGAATTGCCTCTGTTAGGTTTTGAAAAAGTGAAGGAGGTTTCAAATCTTCCTTCTTCTTAACAGCTATTAATATGATCTAGGTTATACATAATCCCTTCTGAAAACAGTAGGCAAGGCAACTTTCTTCTAGTTCTGTTTTTATGATTGCAAATCTAATTCTTCTTTCTCTTTTCCTACATGATTATATGGTGAGGCTTTGAGCCTTTTAATATGTGGCTCTAAGAAGACTCTGTTTTGGGTGGCTTTCAGGAAGACAGGCAATAATCTAATTTGAACTTTTGCTCAGTGTTTGAGCCCAGATATTCATATTAAAACTCTTTATTCTATCTATTTAATAGGTGGAAATTTGAAGCATCTGTGGATCAGTAGCTCAAACTTGGTGACTCTCAACTTGGGAGAGGGGTTAGGAAAGCAATGGGTATCAAACTGTGCAACATTTAAAAAGACAAACACATCCTATGCCCCATCCTAGCTGTATGGAATCAGCCCTTCCAGGGATGGAGTTTGGTAATGTGTATGAATGGATTCGGTGCCATTAGAAGCCCATTGCCAGTTGTGAATCTCTGGCCTAGGTGCTAGGCCCCTGAAATCTGTTGGATTCATGCCCAAATCTTCACTGAGCCTTGAATATATCAAGCTAGCCCAGTAAGTGTGCTCTTTTCCTTTAGTAGTTTTTAGATCTGCTCTTTTAGTCTGATTATGCTATAAATTACTATGTCAGGGATGGATTTGAGAGAACTGCAGTATTGTGAGTGAGGTGAGATCTGAGGAGCCAGTCCTTGCCTTTCTAAGGGAAATCAGCAGGTATTTCCCCTGTGATGATATCTCTGAGTCCAGGCCATACTAACAGTTGTTTTAGTGTTTGATACATACTTTCTGGGTTTTCTCAGCTCTGCTTCTCACCTGCCTTTGTGAGTGACTTTGATCAATTTTCTACTCTGATTTTTTTTTTTTTCTGAGACAGCATAGCCCAGGCTGCCCACAAACTTGCTATGCTACCCAGGTTGGCCCTCTAACTTTTACCTCAGTCTCCCAAGTGCTGTGATTACAGGTATGTACCACCATGCCTGGTTGATGTGTTCTTGAATTAAGGCTTGTGAAGCATCTTGAAATTCTTAGAACAGGTGATATACCACAAAAAGTGTTTGTGTGTTCTTCTGGTTTCATTTGATCTCTGTTTCATCCTCCTTCCGGTGGCCACAGCCGCCCTCGGCCTTCAAAGTGATTCCTGCTGGAGAGAGGATTCTTCTCTTCCTGGACCCAACAATACCTCTTCCTTATCTAAAAATAGCACTCTTCAGTCTCTGAGCTGCCTTGGGGAG